GAGCTTGATGGCACGGCTGCACGCTGAGCCACAGCTGGGATGAGAAGGGATCGAGGAAGGAAGAGGCTCCCCTGCCTCAACTGGGAAGGAATATGGGGAGAAGGAGGCACTGCGGTCACCCAGGCTGAGCCCAGCGATGCCACCGTCCCCAGGAGGAGGAGTCGGTGGTGATGGTGACCAGATGGTCCCCACCTGGCTGGCAGGTTGGGGAAACTTGGTGGCCATGGGGGCTTTGTGCCACTGCGATGGATGCTGGCACCGTGGATGCAGGCAGTGGTCAGGACAATCCCCCTCCAACATCTCATTGGAGGTGTGAACATGACAGCATGCAGATGTGCATTGACAGCACATCTGGAGGTGTATACAGGCCCAAATCTCACCTTTCCTCCCTGAGATTGGCCGGTGGGTGGCAGAGACCCCATGCTCACTGCGTTTCCCCCACCCCAAAGGGCAGCACTGCCCGTTCCCATCCATCCACCACTGCCGTTCTGCAGCCCAGGGGGGTGAGTGCACTTCTGAGTGCTGCTTCAAATGATGTTTGTTTTTCCAAGTGCTCCACCATCTGCTGCCCCTGGGGAGATCGGCGCATGTGTCCAGAGGGTGCAACCTTTGCCAGCCCCATCCTTGCAGGGACAGCCCAGGGCTGCTTTGTGCAGAGTCCCTGGGTGGGGAGCTGTCAGGACAGGATAGTTTTTTTCCCCCTTTTTCCATTTCTTGAAGAGGATCCAAATCACGTTTCTCCTCTCAGAGTGGAACAAATCCAACATGTCTCATTCACAGGGGATGCAGCAGGGAATCAACCAGCACCAGCAGCCTTCCTGCATCCCAGCATGGGGCAGGCAAAGAGTGCCAGGCACCAGCGTCACCCTTCCCCAGGATGGTTCCCCGGTTGGAGCATCCTGGGTATTCCCACATCACTCCATCCGAGGAGGCAGCAGGGTTGTTTCCACTGCTGGGAGCTGGGGGCTGTTGGATTCCTCAGCCCTTATTCATCCACTGGCCGTCATGTGAGAGCGGAGGGATGCACAGCCCAGCTGCCCAATGTGGAGATGCGTCCCCTGGGTGGTGGCAGCAGGGACATGAGCTGTGCTCCCTGCTCAGCCCCTCGGGACCCTGCTGTTCCCAAAATAAATCTCAGTGCTGAAGAAAACAGGGCCTGGCGCCGGGAGGTATGAAGGCATTGTGCCCACAGAGCTGCGGGGACGGAGCTCTGGAAGGAACGCTGCGCTGTGCCGCTCCCGGGTGCTGCCTGTTCCCAAGGCAGGAAGGCACAGGGGGTGCTGGTGCCACCTCAGTCCCACTCCTCCTCCAGCCCCAGAGTTCTCCCCGAGGCTCTGCCAGCACTTCTGCAACAGTGCTGCTCCTTGCAGGTGTGCAGCACCTCCAGCCCCGTGCTGGCTGTGAGTGCGGCCGCGGTGACGTTGCACAGGAACATGGCTCTGTTTCAGCCGTGTCTCCAAAGAGCTTTGCATCATCTGAAGCAGTCTGAAGGATGCGTTCACTTTCATGTACAGAGCTCACTTTGGCAAAATGTTTTCCAGCTGGAGGGACCTCTGCAGCACTTGTCTGGGGCTGCTGCCAGGCAACGAACCACAGCACCCTGCAAGCAGCACCCACTGCCACCGGGCACATCCAGTGTTCAGCCCTGTGCCGGCAGCCAGCAGTGCTCTGGGTGGTCCTGGCCATCAGCTGTGCGTGGGCTGCGAGGCCACAGAGTGGCTGTGGGGTGGGGGGAGCTGAGGTCTGGCTTTGGGACAGCACTCATGGTGATGCAAAGGAGCTGGGTTTCCTCCATCCGATCCCACAGACCAGCTCTACGCCACGTCGGTTTGGATGTGCACACGGCAGCACCACAGCCACAAAGGGTTCACCTGCACCCCAATGGTTTATCCCCTCGTGCAGTGCATCTCAGGTGTGCTGTGCTCACCCAGTGTGCACGCAGGGATTGCTGGCTGCAGTGAGCAGAACGGTGAGTGGGAGGTGAAGCTAACGGCGAGCTTTTGAATTTGCAACCTGCAAACTGAATGTGCAGTTTGTGTTTGGAAATTTGAAAAGCCTCTTTCGTGGCTCTGCTGAGCTCTGGAGTGGGATGTGGGTATCACGGGTCTGCTTGGCTGGGAGCAGCCAGAAGGTTGTGGGGGATTGGTGCTGGTGGGAGCTGCTAGGTGGCCCCAGGTGTCTGCTCACCTGCAAGAGGGCAAAGCAGCGGCAGCAGGAGGCGAGGGCAAGGCAGCAGGATTGCCTCTTGCCTGCACAGGGATCCATGCTGCAGCTCCCTGGGGAGGAGAGCACCGTCACCCCACAGATGAGCCCCAAAGAGTGGGGCCAAAGGGTAGAGAGACCCTACGGGAGCCACGGGCTCCAGCCTGGAGCAAAGCCCTTCACCCAGCCGCCCGATCCTCATTAACTAACGAGGAGGGGAAGCTCTGCCCGCAGCACGCTGCAGGGTGACGAGGGGCATCTCCTCCCGCCGCGCACACATCTCTGCTCGGGGGATGAAGGGCTGCCGATGGGACACTCCGTCCCCGCGCCGTCTCCATGGCTCCGCCGTGGCATGCGTCTGCAGCGGGGAAGTGCAGCTATGTCTTTAAGAAGGGCCTGGGCTGGGGTGGGAGAAGCATTTCCACGCAGCTTTTCTCCCGGCGAACCTGGAGCGAGTTAGCAGCCGAGTTCGCACCGCTGCCGTCAGCCAGCTCGCCCCAATGGGAGCCGCGGTGCCATGAGGACACGGGGCACGGGGCAGCCCTCAGCCCCCCCAGCCCCCAGCCCCGTGGGGAGAGGAAGAGGCCGAGCTGGGTATGTAGTTCTATCCCCGACTTGCAGTTTCACTTTGGGGAGGGTCCGGCAGCTCTGCGGGGTGAGGACAGGGAGCGCAGTGTGTCCCCAGCACTGGGTGTTTCCTCCTCCTCCTCCTCCTCTTCCTCCTCCTTGCAGCTCTGCCTGGAGACTCCATTGGGAGGGGAGGTGCCCCCATACCCCCACCTCGCTGCCACATTCCTGGCTCCAGGGCGGGAGCTCCGGGTGGGATCAGGCAGCGATGCTGTGATGCATGTGCACGGGACAGCGTGCCATGCCATGTCCTGCACCCCAGCGGGGTCACTGCCGCCGCATCCCCCTCCATGGGCTCAGCGTTGTGGCAGCATGTGGCACCCAGCCGGGCGGTGCTCGGTTGCGCTCACTTTTCGCAGGCTGGAAGCAGCTCTGGTGGCAGAGGATGTGGGTGCAGTTTTTGGGGTGCCTGCCGTTGGGGTATTCGTGGGAGGGCTGCACATCCCCGCATGGGCAGCAAAGAGCTCACAGCTGGTCCTGTGCTCATGGCACTTGGCGGGGAGTGAGGGAGGGGGGGGAGCCGGGTTGAGGAGCGGGGAAACTGGCGCTGCTACGCGGGAGGAATCCCAGGAATGCAGAACCCAGAGGGGACACGAGGTGGCACGACAGCCTCAGCTCGCGTTTTGGGATCCGCGAGCAGAGCGGTGCCAGGGGCCGCTCCGGGGTCACCTTCAGTGGGGCGAGCGGTGGGGCGCGGGCACGAGGCTCCCGACCACCCCCTCCCCAGCACCCCTAACAGCCCACAGCCACCCACACCGCTTTGGGCTGCGTGGGGCTGCATGGGGCAGCACGGGGCCCCGGTCCCGCTCCCCCTGTCCTTGGCTCGGGCCCTGAGCCATTGTTCTCCAATGAGCTCATCCCAGCCTCTCGTTATTATTATTATTATTATTTTTTTTTTTTTTTAAACGCTGTTTCTTGGCCGGAAAATAATCAGCTGGGCCACTTGGTGTGGATGGCCGCTTCAAAGGAGCAGCTTTCTCCTCCAGCTGAGGGGGGGGGGTTGCTTTGGAAGCAGAGGTGCAGCATATAGGGATCCCTGCACGGGATGGGGACTACAAGAACGCAGTGCTCTGCTGGCCGGGGTGCAGCAGGAGAAAACATACATGGGGATGGCATTTCTGCTGCCATTGCAGAGCCTTGGTTCACCTGGGCAATGCAGGGGCTCTCTGCCCCAATCCGGGGGTGGCACAGCTGTGCCCCCGCACCGCCGCAGCTGTCACACCCACCTGCTCCTTGCAGCACTCGTGCTGCTGCTCCTCGCCGAGAGTACTGATCCAATTTGTGGCTGTTGCCATAACAACCTCCCGTCGCTTTCTGGTCCTTTCTGTCTTTCCGTGGATGCTGAGATTCGGTGGCTGAGGGATGCTCCAGCCCTGATGGCCCGGGATGGAGCGGGACGGCCTGGGATGGAGCGGTGTGACACTGGGGCCTCTGGGTGCCACCATCTGCTGGGTGCAAAGGGATGTGTGCCAGCCAGGTCCCACTGCATCATGTGGGACAGCAGCACCCAGCTGGGGACAGCAGCACCCAGTTGTGGACAGTGACACCCAGCCTGGCACACGGAATGCTCCCCATTCCTCCCACCGCAGCCCCCACCCATGAACCACAGACCCTATCCCCGTGGCTCACACCGACTTTCCTCACCCCAGGATCCCCCCTTGCCCCCGCCCCCTACCCTCCCAGCTCCCACTGCACCTTGGGGGACTCCGGCTGCCCTCGGAGTCTGCCACCCACGACCACCCGACACGCGGCGCTGCGGTTTAGGGGGACCCCCGGCCCTCCCCCCGCCCAACCCCTTGCCACCGGGGTGACCCCACCCCCCCGGTGCCCCCACCCATTCAGCCCCGCGGCGGGCGGGCCCCGAGGGGGCGGGCGGGCCGTGCGGATGCGGCGGGCGCTCGGTGTGGCGCGGTGCGGTGCGGCCCGGCCCGGCTCGGCCCGGCTCGACTCGACTCCTCCTCCTCCTCCTCCTGCTGCCCGCTCCCGGCGGCGCGGCGCGGCGGGGGAGGTATGGAGCCGGCGGGGAGCGGCCCGGGGGCGGCGGGGCTCTGAGCATCGGGGCCGGCCGAGCCGCGCCGGAGGATGGGCAACGCGCAGCGGAAGGCGCCGCGCAGCCAGCGGCGGGGCAGGATGCGCGCAGCAACAGGTATCGGGGGATGGGACGGGGTCCCCGGGAGCGGTGCCCCCCGGAGCGGGGTGGGACGGAGGCGGGGAGGGGGCGGCTCGTGCTTCGCCGCGGGCGGTTGATCCCTGTGGGTCGCTTGGAGGACGCCGGTGAGGTCACCTCCAGCTGAGGCTGCAGGGGACGGGGAGAGATGGGGCCGTGCGTCCGGCGGCACCGGGCTGCGGGGCGTGGAGCAGGTGCTGATGTGTGGCCTGGGAACGGGGAGACAGTGCTGGGAGTGGGGAGCGAGCGCTGGGTTGCAAGGAGAAAAGCCTGAATTGCGTGGAGTCAGCCCCGAATTGCAGGCAGTGAGCCTCGAATTGCAAGGAGCCAGCCCTGGGTTGCAAGGAGTGAGCCCCAAATTGCAGGAGCCATCTGTGTGGCAGAGGCCTGCACTTGCTGGCCCTAGAGCTGGGTCCTGCCCAGGTGGGGAGCCTATCCCTGCACAGCCCCTGGTACCCACAGCCCCCTTCTCTCCACCCATGAAGGTGGTGGGTGTCTGGTTGGGTCTCACACCACAAGGTGGGCAGAACACCCAGCAAATCTGCACAAGGTGTTTGGGGGGACTGTGGGGGCAACCGAGCTGCCCACAAAACAGGTGGGTCCAACAGGCAGGACCTGCTTGATCACCCCTCTGTCCCCACATGGCTGGCCCGGGCAGTTCCACAACCCTTCCAGACACTGAGAGGCTCATCCCCTCCCAGCACCCCATCCCAGCACCTGGGAATGCTGAAAACATGGGGCATGAGGGCTGGCAGTGCTCCGGAGCCGTCCACGACCCATTGCTTGCAGGGTCAGGAGCAATGGGGGTGCAATGGGGAACCCATTCAATTGCTTGGGAGCCACACGAAAATGTGGAGTGATTGTCACAGCCCCAGCGACTGTCACAGCTTAATAATGAGCGGGCAGAGGGGGTGGAAGTACAGCCTGTCTCTGTATCACTTTGCAGCTGCCGTTGCAGCGGGTGTCGCAGTGGAATGAAATGGGGCAAGGAGAGCCTGGGATGCGAGGGGTGAAGGATGCTGTGCTATGAGGTGCAGTGTTGGGGCCCTTCTGGGAAGGAAGGGTTGGCAAAACCGTAGCCGAGCTCCCACTTTGCCAACAAGTTGCCATTGCCCTATTGCCTGTGGGCTGGGGGCTCTCAGGTCACTGTGTTTCAGAAAGCTGTCAGTGGTGGATGCTAAGGAGGTATGCAGACATGCCAGATAAGGGCCAGGGGAATCTGCTGCCAACTCCCACAGGCTGTGTGCTGGAGCAGCTCTGCTTGGCTCCATCCATCAGGGCCATGTGCAGATGCTGCCTGGGCTGCCCGTGCCTGGGGGAAATGTGCTCTGCTCACATCTGCTGCCTTTGGGGCATCCTATCCCTGAGGTCTACAACTCTGGGGTCTGCAGCGGCACCAGGTGCAAGGCTGCCTGTCCCCAGCACTCAGGGCTATGTTCCCATCCTGGCTCCCATCCTGGCCCCCATGGGCTTCACACCCCTGGGAACAACTGGCTGAGCTGCACAGATCCCTGGGGTGCGTGGAAAGTGGTCCCTCATGGCTCAGGGAGCTCTAGCAGCGCTCAGCGCAAAAAGCCGACTGCCTTCCGAAAGCGGTGCCATGGGAAGGAAGAGAGGACGGGGCCGTACAGTGGGCGGCGGGAGCTGACTCAAGCAGCCAGTTCCTGGCCGTTTCCTTTTGCTCTGGGCCGTGGACGGGGCAGGTGGAGGCAGCTCGCTCCTCACCGTGTGCTTTGCTGAGCAGCCATGGCCAAGGTGGAGTGGCTCCTCGCGCCGTGGCAGCGCGCAGGTAAGGCGCAGGGCTGCAGGGATCGGGTGGCCGCTCAGGCATGGGGACGCAGAGCTCTGGGACACGGGGTCGGTGCAGGTCCCATCCTCCCTTCCCCAGCGTGGCTGCAGCGTGTGCCCTGCTTTCTGCTCCCTGCCCAGCCTGGCCGTCCTCAATGCAACGAAGCCGGGGCCATGCTGAGCTCCACGCCGCTCTGCTGTGGCTGCTTTCAGCTCTCGGGCCCCTTTGTCCCGAGGCCTGGCCGTGTTCCCCTCTCAGCCACTTCCTCGCATTGTCCCGGCGAGGGGAGTGCAAATCCAGCAGGGCATGGGGGAAACGGCGCTTTCCTGCGAGCGCCCGCTCCCAGCACGGGGCCACAGCCTCCATGCAGGCAGACCCCATTGACTCCCACCCCATGTCCCTGCTTGCCGTGTCCCTGCGCCCGCCTGTCGCTGCACGAGTGGCAGCTGGTTGCTGTGGTGACTGTTCCCAAAGCAGCACGGCACCCCTGCGTGCCCCCACACACAGAGCTGGGGAGGAGGGACCCCCCACCCATCCCCATTAGGAATCCTTCTACTCCGGCCCTACACGGGGTGTGGGGTGAAGGAAGGATCCAGCTGGAAAAATGGGTTTGTGTCTGTTTTACCTGATGGTACCTCAGGGCTTTGGCACAGTGTTCACTCTGAACCCTACTGATAGATGGTGGTGGTTCCTGCTCTGCTGCTGGTGCTCTCTCATGCGATGCAGCCTTCCCCTGCACACTGGGTGACCCCCTCAGCTGCAAACCCACCCACCCCAACAGCTCCTGCAGCGCTGCTGTCTGCTGTCAGTGCAAAATCAGCTGACAACATGTGAAACGGGGAGGGTAAGGAGAGCCCAGATCTGCAGGAGCAGGCTGCTGCCGTTGTTGTGCATCGCGGCCCTGCAGGAGGTGCAGGTGTGGGGTCACAGTGTGGGCACCCACCTAACAGCCTGCAGCCCCCGTGGCCTCACCCCGTGGCACAACGTCTGTGGGGATGTTCCTTCCTTTGGACACACTGCATCCCATGCACTCTCTCCTGGTGTGGGGCACACGGGTGTTCAGTGGGGCACTGCTCTATGGGAACGCCGTACGGTGTCTGTGCATAGTGCTGCTGTGTCTCTGCAGGGCTGCTGGCCCGACGGCTCCAAATCCAGCATGGGGTGAGGTGGGACAGGAGGCACTTTGCATGGTGGCTGCCAGCTCCCACCGCTCGCTATTTTCTCTTCCTCTCCACTCGTTGAGGAGCAGCGTGCACTCTGGCTCCGGCCCATAGGGAATGTCATTGCGCCACGCGTCGCGCCGTGTTGGGGCTCTCATCAAAGCATTGCAGAGCATTGCCGGCACTGCAGCACAGCGGAGTTTGGGTCACTGTTGGGATTGCTCTGAGCTTCGAGGTTCGCAGCCTGGTGCACCAGGGCTGGATGCTGCTGTGCCAGTGCCTGTTGCCATGGCCGCTCAGCTAACGCTGCCTCTGCCGCTGCTGTTCCATCACTCCTGGGGTACCTCTGCAGTGCCAGCGCTCCCTGCTCGCTTCAGGAGTGCTTGAGAAGGGGAAGTTTGGCGGCATCATCTCACCATAGATTCGCACTGAATCGAAGCGGCTCTCGATGGCTCTGTCAAACATCTCCCTGTGGATTCGGGGTGCCTGGGCAGTAGGTAAATGCGGCTGCTGGCGTGGAACGGGGTGGCTTGGAGATGCTGAGGGCGGGTGTGTGCATTGTGCCCCACATCGGGTGGTGCTGGGGAAGGGCAAAGTTGTGTTCGTGCTCGATGCTGGACCTAAGGTGGGAGCAAACTCCCTGTGGCTACAGCCCCACACCTTACACCACCATCACCACATCATCCCAAGCCTGAACACTTGCTCGTGCTCTCTGCAAACTGTCCCCAATGTCGTGGTGCTGCTGCATGGCCATGCACATAGATGCTACCCTGGTCCTGAGGTGTGGGGCAGAGCTGTGCCCAGGTGGGACAGAACCCTGGGAGACATCATGCCTCCTTTGGGTGGCCATCCCTCAGTTTCCCCCAGCAGTGAGGCGTACATCAGGGATCCATGGTGGAGTCCAGAGGGATGGTGCTGCTGGCTCCTTGTGCCACACGGCAGAGCCACGGCATGATGCCCAGCACTCTGAGCACCCAGTCCCAAGTTGCACCACTCAAAGTACCACGGCATTACATTTGCTCCTGCATGCAACCTGAGCCATGCACACACGGTGCCTGGGTGCTCCTCGTGCAGGTGGGGTGTCACAGTGTCACAGCCTGGGGATGGCTGTGCCCCCCCCCCCACACACACACACACACACACGCTGCCCGGCTGCGCTTCCGCTTTGCTCAAGGGTGGTTCCAGATTTCAGTGCTGCCGTTTGCCCGCTGGGCTCCAGCTGGCACAGTTGGCCCCCAGGGCTGCTGAGAGGTCCGGGGCGGAGGTAAGGTGCTCTGCTCAGGGCAGGATGTGGTGGAGGAGGGTGTGGGTATGAGGGCTGTGCTGTATGGGGATCCCCGAGTCCCTGTTGGGTGCTGTGTGGTCTGCCAGGGGGGTGATACCCTGAGCTTGCTCTGTGCACAGCATGCTCTCTTTGTGCCAACACCTGTCCTCTTTGGGCATCGTCTGGGAGGCAATGGGAGGAACAAGCATGTTCCTGCTGAAAAACAGGGGGTTGTGCTCACCTGGGGCAGAGAAATGCCATGCCTGGCCGATGGTTGCTCTGGGCACGGTGCTGCCCCATGTGCCCCCTCTGGGATGGGGTCCTGCAGCTGGGCAAAGCTCAGCATGATTTCCTTGTGCACACCCCGACACCTCTTGGTTGATATGGAAACAAGTCAAATTATTTAAAGGAAAGGAGGAAAAAAAAAAAAAGAAAGGCTTGTGTTAAGGCATGTCGTTATGGTAACACAAATTATAAAAGTAACTAGGCTAGGGAGCAGGCACGCTGCTTTCGGATGCTGGGCGTTGTGCTGGGGGCTGCGGGTAGAGAAGGAGCAGGGGTGATGCTGGGGGCACGCAGGCTGGGATGGTGGTGGCCCTGGTGGCTGCAGAGGGCTCAAATGGAGCAGAAGGGGGAACCCAGCAGGGAGGTGCTGGGCACCAGGGCTGCCGTGGTGCAGTCATTCTTCAGCAAAGCCGCAGAGCTGCTTGCTCTGCATGCTGGGGTGGGGTTGAGGGTGCTGAGGCTCTCGCTGGGGCCAGCACTCGCAGCGCAGGGATGAGGGGAAGCGTTTGCCACGCAGGAAGCAGGGCTGGGTGTGCACTGCCTGCACCCCGGGGCCACCCAGCAGCCCGCAGCCTCTTCCCACCCTTTCCTGCCAAATGTGAGTTACTCTCGGGCGATGCTGGTGGATGAAGTGCGACAAACAGTGCCGTGTCCCCTCGCACCCTCCCTTTAGGCTGTGGTTTCTGCTCTCCTGCAGCAAGGAGGTTGCTTCACCATTGCCCTTCCTGCGCCCGACAGCAGCTGTGCAATCACCCAGGGCGGTGGGTTGATTTCTTCCTTCCTCAATTTCTCTCTGCTCCTTGCCTGGCTCTGGCCGCCCACGGAAGCGTGTCCAGCGCCTGCAGCAGCGACGGGCTCTGCTCTTGTATGACACAGCCACATCCCCATCCCTGTGTTGCTGGAGGGAGACGCATGGATGGGATGCGTGTGCTGTGCTGCCTCAGCAACCAGCCCCAAACCCTCAGCAGCACTCACAGGAGGCGCAGTCCCTCACTTCCCTCTTGTTCTACTCACAGCCACCTCTAACCTGGACTTGGAGAGCAAGAAAGCCGCCCCCACCAAGCTGTCATGGCAGCAGCCGGTGAACGTCTTCCTGGCTGCCGGCCGCCCGCCCGGCATGGAGCAGCTGCACCAGGAGGCTCAGCTCAACCTGCAGAGCCTGCTGCAAGGTACTGGGGCATTGCTGGGTACGGCTCCGGGTCTGCTGCACTGAGGGCATCTCCGAGCTGCTCCATGCACCTTGCAGAGCTGTGAGGTCCCAGCCTCCAGCAGCCCGTTCTCTGCTCTGCCCCCAAACCCCTGCACCCAACAGAGCCGCCGTGGCCCTGAGCTGTGCCTGGGGCTGCCCACGAGGAGCGTGGGGCCGGGTAATGGAATCAGCGCGGCTGCTGATCTTGTTTCCTCCCAATTTCTCCATCGCGACGTCACGCGGCCTCAGATCAGATGCTTTACAGGCATCGATTAGATCAGCAGCCTGGCCTTCCCCCAGCTCGTAATCTCATTACGGCAGCCCGAGTAGAGCTGGTTTCCGCACTAGGCTGTAACGACCAGCGCTAATTAGCTCAACAATCACAGGACGGGAGATGGGGAGCGCTGGCCATCCCCAGCCAGGCTCCCAGCCCCCTGGGAGCTGCAGCTTTCCCAGCCATGGCCCCGCTGCAGGGCTCTGCACTTCCCTTCCTGCATCTTGAGCAGGACAGGCAGACACAGCCCAGGGACAGACATTGGTGGCTGGAGCAGGGTCCTACTGGCTGTTTCCCTTGCAGAGGAATATGAGGAGCAGTATGCTGAGAGCAGAGTGACTGGGCAGACCTTCCGTGCCGCCGGCCACCCACCTCCCAGCACCCCTACGGAGCCCTCGCCCCGGCCTCTGCCCTCCAAGCGCCTTGAGTTCGTGCTTATGGTGAGTCCCAGGGCCGCGGTGGGGATGCACCTTTGTGCCTGAGCTCTTTGTGGGGTGCCAGGACATCAGCTGGGGGTGATACATTGGCACAGCATTGCACAGCAAGATGGGGGGTGACCCTTTCTATCTCACCGGGGTGATTCATGCTTTTCCCCGCAGCCCCCAAGCCGGAGAGCTGATGAGGAGGAGAGCAGCAGTGCCAGCACGCTGGGCGTGAGACCACCCGACACCTCCCTGAGCCTCCCCACCACCCCCGACAAGCAGACAGCCTGGCCCAGGGCCTTCCCCCTGCCCACCGTGGAGGAGAAGCAGTGGCACCAGTCCTGCTCTGTGCAGACCAACGTGGTCCCCATCAATGTCTCGGGTAAGGCACCACCCACGCATGGTGGCTGGGGAAGAGGTGATGGAGCTGAGCTGGCACCTGGGAAGGACGCTCCCAACAGGATGCTGGGTGGTGGGGGGGGGGGCTGAGAGCCCGTGTCCCCGCCGGCCACGTGGGGACAGCAGGGGACAGCAGCGGCATGCTCGTGTGCGTCATTCCCTGCCATCTCTCCTGCCATCTGCAGCTCCGTGTGTCCGATCCATGCCACCAGCCGGTCTCTTGTTTGTGCCGTGCTGCCCTGCCAGCCGGTTCTGTTGTCACCTTGGCTCTCACCGTGCTCCGTCTGTCCATCCATCCATCCGTCTGTTCTCGCAGGGCCGCAGCTCCCAGACACCCCATGAACACATTCAGCCACTGAATGTGTCCCTCAGTGCCACATCCCCACAGTTCTCAAATGCCTTTAAGAGCAATGCCCCTCCCCTACCTCCCCGGGCAGCCCGTGCCGGTGCATTATCACTTTTCCAGAGAAGAAATTTCTACTAATACCCAACCTGACCCTCCCCTGGCACAGCTTAAGGCCACTACCTCTCATCATTTCATGCATCCCACCTCCATCGCAGCAGCAGCTCCGCGTTCCCGCAGCCAGCACCACCCACCACATCTCACAGCACATGGCTCACCACGTCCTCCATCCCCCGCCACCCACCCTCGCTGCAGCAAGCCAGGGGACAGCCGTGGTGCCGCAGGTGGCCGTGTCCTCCTGGCCGCGGCAATACGGTACGGCGTGTTTGTTTTGGCTACAGGGCAGCACTTTGCTAGGCACGCGAGTGCTCGTCACTCCCTGTTTAACACAGAGACCGCGATGAACCCCAAGTCCACCCTGCGGCGTAGACGGACCATTATCGGATTCCCTAACATGTCCCTGCGAGACCAAGGTGACAGCAAGAACCGCGCAGCCACCCCGGGGGGCTGGGACACCCCGGCCTTGGGGATGTGAAGGCCACCAAGCAAACCCCTGTGCGCTCTTGGGGTCCTGCGCATGCTGGTGACACTTGGCACTGGAGCTGGCATGTGTTGGGGGACACCCCCACACCCCACGTCAGGGTGCTTACAAGGAGTGAAGGATGCTGAGATTCAACCCGGTCCTATGCTGTCCCTCGTGGGCAATAGGCAGACCCCACGCCACTGTGATGAGGGTGCTGGCATGGTGAGGGTGCTTAAAGCATCCCTGGCGTGGCCATGAAGCAGTGCTTGATCCTATCAGTGCAGCATCCGTCCCAGTTCTTGGGCATCACAGTGCTGACCACAGGAAAGGTTCTTCATAAGTATGTGGGGACCTGAGGTAGAGAAACCACAGCATCAAAAGAAGTTCTCACCGGATAGGAGGAAGGCTTTTCCCTGTCACAGTAGCTAGCCACTGGGGACAGGACCCCAAGTGAGATTCCTCCTGTGGAGTAACTCAGAGTTCAGCTGATCACAGCCTTGAGTCCCTGTCTGACTGTGTGTGGGACCCCTGGGACCATTCCCAGTGGACTGCTCAGAGATGAGGAGGGGCTGTGAGCCATCTCGTCCCTCCTGGCACAGGGGGTGATGCCCACCACAGAACAGCACCGGGGCAGCACTTTGGTCCCTTCTGGGGGTACTGCCTCTTGCATGGAGACTCCCACCCTGGTTAAACTGTCCACACACTTCATGGGACATCTCAAATCCCAGAATAAGTGCTAACCAGGCTGGGACTGTCCCCAGCTGGCTGCTGCCCACCCAGTAGAGGGGAACATCTGGGGTCAACCCTTCTCTTGCAGTCAGCTGGGGCACACTGCATATGCAGGCAAGGATGCAGCCCAAAGGTGGGCCATGGGGTGGGAACGGTCCTACATCCAATAGGGAAGGATGGTGGCTGCGACGCCCAGGGCAGTGCCAGCCCACGCTCACCCCACATTTGTCCCCACAGGCAGCACCAACGGCCCTGCGCACACCACACACCCACCCATCGCCGAGTCCCTGTCCTGCAGCTTTGAGACCACGGGTGGGAGGAAGCCCTCCCAGCAGACCAGCCCCCACCAGCCGCTCTCTGCCCCGCTGAGGAAGACCTTCAGTGACCTCGGGGGCACGCTGCAGGCACGCTGCTGCCCACCGCCATCCCCCATGGACAACGCGGCCACCCCCAGCACCTGCAACGGACCACAGGGCTCCTCTTTTCCCCCACCCTGGGGTGCCAACTCCTTCGGATACACCACCCCCCCCAGCCCTGCTACTGGCCAGGAGGTCTCACCAGGCAGCTCCGCCGTGGGCTCACCCTCCGGCACGGAGCGGGCCGCCTCCTTCTTCATCGCCCAGGAGGAGCATGCGGGGAGCACTGGGCCCAGCTCCTTCTCCACCACAACGCCTGAGTCTCCTCCTGGCACTGGGGGCATCCGGAGGTGCGATGGCCAAGAAGCCAGGGTGAACTTTTCACCAACAAACAAAGAGCCGGAGCCGGCACCGGAGCCATCGCGCCTGGGGGTGGAGCGGGCAGGGTGCCGCTTCCGCGAGCGCTCGCTGTCGGTGCCCACCGACTCGGGGTCCCTCTGCTCCGTGGACATTGCTTACGCCGAAGCCCGGCGGGGCAGCACCAACTGTGCCCTGGGCTACCCCAGCGCCGGCTCCGAGGGCAGCACCAGCACTGATAACATCTCACTGGGGCCGGAGCCGGACGGGCAGCGGCGGCGGCGCTCCAAGAGCATCTCCCTCAAGAAAGCCAAGAAGAAGCCCTCGCCGCCCACCCGCAGTGTCTCACTGATCAAAGACGGACAGGACAGCCTGGCTGCCCTGGGGCTGCCCCATGATCAGAGACCCAAGAGCCTGTGCATCCCGCTGGAACCTGCTGGGCACCGGGTGGTGCATGCAGACCCCCAGGGCAGAGAGCCCGACAGCCCGGCTGCCCCTCACCAGTGGTACCTGGCAGACTGGAAGAATGGTGAGCCCTACCGGTCCCTCTCTGGCTCCAGTACAGCCACAGGGACTACAGCCATTGAGTGTGTGAAGGCACGGGGCAGCTCCGAGTCCCTCATGTCCCCCTCTGTCTCCAGGGCCACAACACCCTCCCAGCTCTCAGCAGAAGCTGACCTCAAAACCTCCTCCCCAGGCAGGCCCACAGGGCTGATGTCCCCATCCAGCGGGTACTCCAGCCAGTCAGAGACCCCCACACCCACCGTCCCCACCTCAGCCATCCTCGGGCACTCCCCACACCAGGTGCGGGTGAGGCCGCTGGTTCCCGAGAGGAAATCCTCGCTGCCCCCCACATCCCCCATGGAGCGGAGCCCCAAATCCAGGCTGTCTTTCGAGCTGCCGCTCACACCGCCCGCCCACCTCGACCTCTCGGGACTGAAGATCTCCCTGAAGGGGAAGACGAAGGTCAGCCGGCACCACTCCGACTCCACCTTCGGCACCAAGCTGGTCCAGAAGACCAGTCCCATCCAGCCCATCATGCCTGTGGTCACCCAGTCCGACCTGCGCTCTGTCCGTCTGCGCTCCATCAGCCGCTCCGAGCCAGAGGACAACACTGACGGCCCAGAGCATGCCGAGGAACTGCCACGTATCCCCTGCCTGGGGCCGGAGAGGAAAGTGAAGCCGCCGGTAGCAGAGAAGCCACCGTTAGCCAAGCGGCCCCCGTGCATCCTGCCCAAGCCCGTGGTTCTGCGGGAGGAGGGTCCCCTGTCCCCCACATCCCCGCCGAGCATCACCACCAAGGACAGCTTGGTGCTGCGGAAAGGGGATCCATGGAGGGGCCCAGGGCAGCCTCGGCGGCTCTCGCAGGGCAGCCTGGAGGACAAGCCGCGGCCAGAGGCAGAGCGCAGGAAGGCCAAGGTGCCGCCGCCAGTGCCCAAGAAGCCCAGCGTGCTCTACCTGCCGCTCACCCCAATCCCGGTGCAGCAGGCGGGGGGTGTGGGGGACCCGGCGCCCACCCCCAGCCCCATCATCACGCTGGATGCAGAGCCCAGCTGCTGCCAACCTGACGCTGATGGCCCAACACCCACTGAGGTCCCAGGCACGGCACAAGCTGGCGAGACCTCCTCGGATCAAGGTGAGGGTGTGCCTGCTGCTCCGTGTGGAGAAGGCGGCTGGGGGATCCCTCTCCATCATCCCATGTATATCATGGCTGTTTTCTCCTCCCTGCAAGCAGGCAGCTCGTCTGAGGCTGGCACAGAAGAGAAGAGCTTCGCCAGTGACAAGACGGCCGACTCCATCGCTGAGGAAGACGACGATGTCTTCATGGCGTCCCGCACCACAGAGGATCTCTTCACTGTCATTCACAGGTAGAAAGAGCACTGCGGTGGGCACAGCCCCTCGAGCTCACCCTCGGAGGGGTTGTTGCTGCCTTATGTACTCCTGAGGATGTAAGGAAGGAATTTTTTACAACGAGGGTGGTGAGGCACTGGAACAGATTGCCCAGAGAAATCGTGGATGGCTCACACGTACGCTAAACTCAGAATCACAGCATCATTTGGTTGGGAGGGGTTTTAAAGATCCTCCAGTCCAACACCCTGCTATGGGCAGGGACACTTCCCACTGGGTCAGGCTGTTCCAAGCCTTGTCCAGCCTGGCTTTGAGCACCTCCATCCTGCCCCAGCAGAACTGGGTGGGTGCTGTGCTCCTCTCCCCTTAGGCACTGCCCTTTGCCCCATAGGCCCTGCCCTTCCCATCGCTGTAGGACTGCTCCCACCACACATCTCTTTGGTGTTTAGGTCCAAGAGGAAGGTTCTGGGGCGGAAGGAGCCTGGCGACAGCTTTAGCAGCCGGCCCAATTCCCACTCTCCTGTGAAGACGTCAGGCTCACCAACCAGCGAGTCCCCTGCAGCAGCAGTAAGCACCGGGAAGTCCTCCAGCAGGAATGAAGATTTTAAGGCTCTGCTCCAGAAGAAGAGCAGTAAAACCAGCAGCGGTTCCCGGCCGTCTGCAGCTGAACTGCTCAAGACCACAAACCCACTGGCTCGGAGGGTCATGATGGAGTTTGCCCCTGAGCTTGATGGTGCAAACAGCCAGCCCTAAACCTGCACAGAGCCTTCTGGCTACAAAGGGCTCGGGTTGGTGCAGATTGAGCCGTGCTGTGGGCAGTAGCTTTAGGCACTCAGGTCACTGCAGAAGGGATGTCCCGGCTGCCCCACTGGGGCTTCTTTCGTGCTTTCATTTCTTCCTTGGCGAATCCTCCTTGGTTCCTCTCCAGTGGGAGAGCTGCTGGCAGAGAAGCAGCGTTGGGACCTGAGGCGCTCATGTCCCTGCTGCGCTGCTGGCAGGAGGGGAGAGGCAGACATGCAGCACTATAGTGGGGACTGGGACCTGGCACCTCCTGTGCCGCTGGGACAGCAGCTCCTGCTGCTTGGGAACTCAGCAGGAGTGCAGCTCTAGGCACCTTCCAGCACCCGCAGCAAAGCTAGCTTGAAACTGTTTGGTCACTCGGCATGTGGTACTTTAAACGGCTTTTTCTAATGCACAGTGGTGATGATGTTTTATTCTCTTTCGTTTGACGTTGTGCCATCAGTTTCCCAGGCAAAAGTCCCAGGTTTTGAGTTCAGCTGGAAATCTGGAGATTTACTTTGGAGGTCGGTTGGACAGGAGGTTGCTTTGGAAGAGCCACAGACCATTCCTGCTCTTCGTCCAAAGCATCCTCCCTGTTGCATGGGAGCAGGCGCCTGCTGTCTGCAGCCTGTGCAGTGACCTCAGGCCCCTCAAAAGCCCCTGACAAAACTGCATTCCAGAGAGCTCTTCAGCTCTCAGTGCAAACACAGACTTTCCCTCCCCGCCTCTGCCATAGGACTGAAACACCCTGCAGAAGCGGGTAGTTCTCATGCCTCCTGCAGACATCTACAGCTCCCATTGCTGGAGTTCCTACAGCTGCTGGCCAAACCCAGCCAGCTGTTGGGATGCAGGGCTATGCTTTGACCCTCACCCACAGGACTCCTGCAGTTTCCCAGTTTCTGTGCCTGGGGCTGCACCCTACTGCTGTCCACGTGCTGCTGGCACTGCCACCATCCCCCTGGCACAAGCAGGACCCCACAGACCGTGTGCTGGGACTGCACTGCAGCAGAAGCCACAGTGAGGAGCAGTGGGGCAGGGACAGCCAGGGGGTGGGGGCTGAGCAGAAACACCATCTCTATTCTTCCTCAGGGCAAGAAAAGGCCAGACAGCAACTAGCAGAGAAACAGAGAGTTAGGAAAGTTTGTGCTTTATTTCTTCCCCTATCTGCAAGCTCCCATGTACCCCAGCCTCCCTGAATTGGGGCAGAGCAATGGGGCCAGGGCTGAGCAGCAGTGGGGGCACAGCCCTGGGGGCCAGGGTTGGTTTGGGGGCCCTGTGCCCTCCCCTGGAGCACCACCTCTGTGGATGTGCTCTGTGCTGGCGCTGAGCTCAGAGAGGCTCTGCTGTCCTCAGCTGTTTGCTTTGAACCCCTCCTGTTACTCGCACTTGCTCCCTTCCCTCTCACAGGATGGCAGATTTCAGCGTTAAATTAGGACCTAGGCTGAGAAACTCAGGAAAAGAAGGAATTTAAAAAAAAAAAAGGAGGGAAACAAAACAAACAATCAAACAAACAAACAAAAAAATCTCTGTGGTTCATCCGAACCCTGCAGCACCCGGGGAGGTGGAAACGAGGAGAGGACGGCAGGCACCAGAGCAACACGAGCAGGCCTAGGGAACGGGGGCAGGCCTAGGGATTGGGGGCAGGCCTAGGGATTGGGGGCAGGCCTAAGGAACGGGGGCAGGCCTAGGGATTGGGGGCAGGCCTAAGGAACGGGGGCAGGCCCAGCACCCGATACAAGAGGCGGGCCCAAGGCCCCGGGCGCAAGGCGTGCTGGTCGGGGCCGAGTGCGGCGGTGTGGTGGTGATGGCTCCGAAGGGGAAAGGCGGCGGCAAAGCGGGCAAGGGTGAGCGGGGCCGGGGAAGGGAGGCGTGCAGAGCAGGCCGGGTGCCGGTACCGGCGCTCGGAGCCCCGTCCCGGTTTCATGGCGCTGTTTGCAGGCGGTGAGAGCGGCGAGGCCAAGGCCCAGGGCCCGAAGGGCGGCGGCAGCGCCGTGAAGGTGGGTACCCGTTCCCCTCCTTGCTCCCGGGGCCGGCGGTCCCCGCAGCCCGTCACGGCCCGCTCCTGCCCCCCAGGTCCGGCACATCTTGTGCGAGAAGCACGGCAGAGCCATGGAAGCCATGGAGAAGCTGAAGGCCGGGGTGCGCTTCAGCGAGGTGGCCTCGCAGTACAGCGAGGACAAGGCCAGGCAGGGGGTAAGGCTGCTCCCGGCTGAGCGCTGCCCTGCGGCAGCGAGGGCTCTGCGGCTCAACCCTGGCCGTTCCTTCCTGCAGGGAGACTTGGGCTGGATGACCAGAGGCTCCATGGTGGGACCTTTCCAGGATGCGGCGTTTGCCCTGCCGGTGAGCAGCATGGACAAGCCGGTGTATACGGACCCCCCTGTCAAAACCAAGTTTGGGTATCATATTATTATGGTGGAGGGCAGGAAATAAAATATGAATGACTGTTGAACTCACGACTGTTTGAATTCTGGGCGTTTCCCAGGCATGTGGACCTAGGAGCACCTTGGTCATAACCAGCAGGGTGCTTGGAGACAGCTGGCCATCCCTGCAGGACGTGCAAATCACAGCCAGCAGAGAACGGGGCACTGCACAGAGAGGTAAAGTGTTCCCTGAAAAAGGTAAAGGTTGTGTGTAGCTGTTGAAATATGCATCAACTTGTAGGCTAGCCCCTTGCTTTTCCTGCTACAGAGATAATGTACAGCTGTGAAAGCTCAGGCTGCAAATATAGTCAACTTGGAAAGGGGATCCCAAGAGCATTTGCTTTTATCCTCACCAGCAAGGATGCAGGCAGCTCAGACTTAACATGGGAAGAGCCTCCTGCTGTTAGAGGCCAGCTAATGCTACAGCTAGGGCTCAGGGTTGCTGCTGTGGGCAGGCTCCTTGTTCTTTCAGTCAGCAGCCTTTACCAAGGCTGGAGGCACAAAGCAGTAGCAGGAAGGGGGAAGGTGTAAGAGTAGCCACCCCAAATACAAAATCATCTGTACCTTATCCACTCAAAGTTCAAGGAAGAAGTTGTGTAACCTAGGCTTGAATGAGAGAAGAAAAAGCTAGAGGAAGGACACTAAATGCCTGCTGCTCCATCAGTTCACCTACTGCTAGGCATGATGTGCCTAAAACTTGGTAAGGTGCACCTTGTCCTTCCAGTAAAACTGGATAAATGACAGTGTGACTGATATGAATGAGATGGCCCTGTATGTCCCTACCTCTGGCATCTCAGTAACAAATATCCCACTGCACCCATCTTCTGTCTGCTGAAAGACAGACTGGTGCTGTCTTGGCTGCAGGTGAGCATACTGGTGTGTCTGAGGGCTTAGGGATGAGGACAAAACTTTAAGTAGAACAAAAGGCCTTCCCACCATCAGACACAATGAAGAGGTGAGACTGAAATCGGGCCAGGTTTTTCTCCCACTCTGCTTTAGGGGGCATTTGTTTCATTTTGTTGGGAGAACAGAAGGTTTGTATGAGCCAACAGCGTTTGCAAAGCTCTAGCTCATTAATATTTTGTTATGTAAGGCAGACAGGCCTTTTTACAGCATGAGAGCAGATGCAGCCCCATTTAAGTGATGCTTTATTAATAAACTACTTGTTTCCAGGCTACCAGGGCTTTGTTCTACACCCATTAGCAAAAGCACATTGGTACATCTCCTGTACCAACAGGACTCCTGTTTGCATTTGGCATGTCATCTAATACAAAGAACTCAAATTCCCAGACCCAGGCCAAATTTAACTCATTGTGGTGGCAGAGGGGGAAGTCAGATGAGCAAGGCATTGCTGAAAGCCAGGGTGAGGTTCTTGTAACTGTAAACTTGAACTGCACTAGGAACTCATTTTAGATTCATTGTGCTGATAATACCTCAAAAAATTTCCACAGCTCAGTCAAATGTGAGAAGAGAGTGAGAGGACTCCTCACCAGAGAAAAAGCAGCCCAAAACTTTAAAGCTGTTGTGCTTTCCTGCTGCCTTTGTGCAAGAGCAGGCTTTGGTACTGCTTAGAGGGAAAGATAAGAGGGAGACTGCAAGGTCAGACCAGAGCCACCCCTGAAGCCCTTGACTCCTCCAGAAATACCCAAAGGTTCAGAATGTTCAGCACCTTGCAGCAGTCAAGGTCTAACAGCTATTTCCAGTCCTCCTGCAATCTCCCAGCTACGTAACCCTTCTACAGCAATAGCAGGATGGCAGGAGTTTGAGCACAAGGCTTTCTTGGTGCTGTGTCTTGGTGCTAGACCTGACACCAGGTAGATGTTTGCTGCTATAAATCTGAGTAATGGAGGTCAGCATGCCATCTCCCCCCACCCCAGGATGTGCATTCTCAGACCAGCTTAAATTCAGTTGTGGCAGTTCTGTTCTCTACTTCACACCAAGCACTTGGTGTGCTCAAATAGCAGGGCATGATTCGGGCAAATGGACTTTATTTATATTGAAAAGGGGAGGGACTGCAGCAGTTGGAATTTAGACTGCAGTAAGCTGCTGTGGAACCACACCTTCAGCTTTATGAGATTCTCTCCTGCTAGAAGAGAAACTGAAGGCTAGAAACACAAATCTAGATCTGCATTTGGGTATAAAGATGTGTATTTTAATTAAGTGAACAGGAACATGAACTTCTTTCATCTTAGTGAACTGAGTCCACAGTGAAATCCCTTTCCCAGCACCTAAAATGTGACAGTTTCTTACATGACAGGAGGAGTTGCTGGATTTGCTCACTAAACACGACTGAAAGTTTCATAACATGAAAGAAATATAAATTGCAGCCATCAGTCTTAAGTTAAAAAAAAAAAAATCACTGTAGTTCAGACAAATATTTTGTGAAAAAAGTTAAACTACTTAGCGAAGGTACACATATTTCATAAGACTATCCAAAGGTTTACTTTTCATTTCTGGGCTAGCTGTCTATACAAGTTTAGAGTTAGAAGCATAATTTCAGGATCTCCACTTCTTATGTCAAGAGCTTGCAGGAAACAGTTCAGTGCCTCTTGTAGTTTTCCTTTGTCCTTCAGATTCTTCCCTCTGTCCACTAAGGTACTGTAATTCCCTGAGGGAGGAGAGAAACTCTGACCGGTAGAGACACTTTCCTGGGTGCAGTACTCCAGCTGCTCATCTGACTGAAGCTCTGCATCACCAGTGGATTCCTCCTGAGATGACTCGGTCTCATCTCCTTCAGACTGCGTACCCTCTGTACAGAATGACTCTGCAGTTGAATTAAGTGTTTCTCCAGCAGGTTCTTCTTCAGGCTCAGCAGACTCCCCACTACATTCTTCTGCTGCTTCTTCTGCAAAGCCTTCTTGCTCCTCGTCGCTGTTTTCTTCTTCACCTGTGGTTCCCATGATTTCACCAATATCCTCAACCTCATCCACCACCTTGTTAATGAGAGATCTCCTGGAGGCTGTAGACCTGTTACTGCTGTTAGTTAATTTGGGAGAAAAGATGGCTTTTGCTATACTTCTGTCATTCTTGGGAGTAGATGCACTAATTCCTTCCATAAATTGATGCAGAGGGCTGTTCAGGGGAGAGGACCTTTTATCAAACCGCTCTTTCTCCAGGTTTATAACAGAATGGTCCTCATCCTCACTATCTGAAACAATTCTTCTTACGTGCTTCTTCCTACCTGAAATGAGAACAGCGCTGCCTTGCTCTGATGCTTCACTCCCTTGCAAAGAACTATTTGGATCATCTTCAGCTGTGTGGCAGGGGTTTCCAGAGTTGCCATTCTCACTTAAGCAAGTTTTTGCTGGTGATTTACACAGACTTTCTGCTTTTAGTTGGAAGTCCTCATCTTCTGGGTGCTCTGTTGATCTCTCTCCATTTGAGGCATCCTGCAGTCCACCTTCAGACTCTTCCAGGACCAGATTGAAGTCAACTTGCTCTTGGAGAGAAGGCACAGACATATCCTCCAAACTGGTTTCCAGCACATGATACTTTTGGACCTCAGCATGGACTTCTGGTAAAACATCTGATAAATCTGATGGTGAGGCAGACAAAGCCAGCTCAAAAACATCATTCTTCTTTGTCTCTGAGACAGCAAATGAATCAAGTACCTGATCTGCCATTTCTGTATCTTGTAACCTCTTGGGATCATCAGCCATGACAGATTGGTTAGAAGAATGCTGAGAAGGCTCAGACAAGCCATTCCCAGCCTCAGTCAAGCTATCTGAATTTACGTGATAAAGAGAGCATCGTTTCTGTTTAAGAATTTGAGTCTCTTTATCAAGTGGACAGTGTCCAGGTGATAGTGGTATAATGTTCAAGTCCAGATTTTGTTCAGATTCTTGTATATAGGGCTGTTCCACTTTCTTGCTGCTAGAAAGCAGCTCTAAATCCATACCAGATGTCTCTTGTGTCAGTTTCTCTTCACCTACCTCAATAGTCAGATTTGTCATCTTAGAGCTGACATCAAGAACCTGGACTTCCATGTCCTCTGTAAGATCAATAACTTTGTCACTTTCACCTTTATCAGCTGCTGGTGGTGAAACAAAGTTATTGATATTGTTCAACCAAGGAGATCTCCTCTTTGACTGGGAAGCCAGTTCTGGTGGTCTCGACCATGTCTCCTCAGCAGCATGTCGGATCCCTTCCATCCTCACATCTCTAAGCTGAGACTCTAACTGTACCAGCTCATGGGCCTTCTGTACCCTCTGTTGGATGTACTGATGGGCTTCCTCACTCTCAGCCTGTTCCTCGTGGGTCACTTCCCTTGTAAATATTAAGTCATGATCGGATATGCCAAACATTTCCAGAGAGTGCAAATAAGCAATGTGCTCATCCAGCTGCACATCAGTCTGTCTTTGGGTGGCATGCAAAGACTGCAGCTGGATCTGAGTTGTGGATGTTCGTGTATCTTCTAAAGTGAAAAGCTCCCTTAGTTCCTGTTTGGAGAAATACCTAAATGGGTTCTTTTTGTCACCGGTAGTCTGTCTTATTAATGAATCCTTAAATACTTGCCGCCTATATATTTTCTCTTCCACTGTACCACAGGTAATCAGCCTGTAAATCACCACATTCTCTTTCTGCCCAATCCTATAAGCTCTATCTACAGCCTGAGCATCTGTAGCTGGATTCCAGCTGGGATCAAAGATCACCACTCGGTTGGCTGCTGTTAAGGTTATACCGACGCCACCAACCTGTGTTGTCAGCAGAAACACAGAGTAGTCTTTGTTACTCTGGAAGGCACTGATGCGCTTCTCCCGTTCTGTTAGGTGGGTCACTGTTCCATCAATACGCATGATCTTAAATCGTCTGCTAGACAAAACTCGCTCAATGATATCCAGCATTTTCCTCGACTGTGAGAACACCAGTGTTCGGTGCCCCTCCTCCCGCAGTCTCTCTAAAAGTCCTAAAAGAAATAGCATTTTCCCAGACTCCTGGATCAGGGTCTCATCAGACAGATGATCTATTTTGTTGGCACCTGAAAGCACAGCTGCTTCACTCCCGTGTTCCTGCTCCAAGTACTCCTGTCCATCTAAGTCCAGCTGGGTACATGCTCTTGCAGACAGAAGCCTGGGATGGTCACACAGCTTCTTCAAGACAGTCAGCTCAGCCAAAGGCGATCGGGTTGTTGTCAGCAATTCTTTCACATGATCTAGACAGAGAAAGTTCCTGTAGATTTTTTCCTGCACTGGTGTCAAGTACACCCACACAACAAAGTCATTTTTCCTAGTAAGAGATGGCATGACAGGAGCACTAGGCTCATGTGGATCCTCAGGAAGAGGAGTGTCTGATTTCTCAGCGTGATTTTTTTTTATATCATCTTTAGTCCTTCTGAGGAAATATGGCTTTATAATTGTCATTAGGTTCTCAGATATCTTAAGTCCCAGTGCTTTCTCGCCTACAGTTGCATCCTTCTCCCTGGCCCTAGTAATAGGATTCTCGTACTCCATTCTAAACGTTTTGGCTGTTCCTAAAAGAGAACCCTGGCATGCAAAGTCAAACAAAGACCACATTTCCTGCAGGTTGTTCTGCAGCGGTGTGCCTGTGAGGAGGAGACGATGCTTGGCGGGAATCGCATACACGCACTTTGTTGTTTTGTTAGACGGGCACTTGATTTTGTGTGCTTCGTCAAGGATGATGTAGTCCCAGGTAAAGTCCTGCCCGTGGCAGCTGGCAAGTTGCTTCCAGTTGTTAATGAGCATCTGGTAGCTTGTGATGACAACGCCATTCTTCCTCTGGATCTTCTCCAGGTTCCTGGTGCGCTCTGTCTTGCTCGTGCCATGGAACTCCTTAACACGCAGACCAGGGGTCCAGCGAGCAAACTCAGCCAGCCAGCTGCTGACCAGGGTGGTGGGCATGATGAGCAGGACGTGCCGGATGAGCTCGCTGTCAAACATGCCTGAGAGGAAGGCGATGATCTGGATGGTCTTCCCCAGGCCCATATCATCAGCCAGGATCCCTCCAGGTCGACCCTCCCGGTGCAGGCGGTACAGGAAGGCAACTCCCTCCCGCTGGTGCTGGAAGAGCTTCCCGTGCATCTCCCCGTAGAGCAGCAGGCCGCTGCCGCACACATCCACAAAGTTGCCATCATCCTCTTCCTCCTCCTCCGCCGTGGCCGCCAGCTCTGCCAGCGCTGCCTGCAGTCGTTGCATGCGGCCCCGCAGCTTCTCGCTGGGGCGGATGGCGGCCGCCTGCCGGAACAGCTGCAGGGCCTGCTCCAGGTCCCCGCTGCCTGCCGCCTCCTTGGCATCGGCCACCAACCTGCAGGACCGCCGTTAGCGCTGGGCCGAGCCCCGGCCCGCCCTCTCACAGCCCCCCCACGGGCCCCCAACATCCCCGTGACCCTCGGGCCCCGCAGGCCGCTATAACTCCCAGTTCTCCAGCCCCAATAACCCCATACATCCCCATCACCCTCGCTCCCCGCCCCCTGCACCCCCTCTCACCGCCGGTACCGCTCCTCCTCGCTGCCCGCCATGACGCCGCTCCGCGTTTCAAACCCGACCCTTCCCGCCCTGCCCCGCACAGGAGAGCCGCGCTCAGCCAATCGGCGCCCGGGGGCGGGGCCAGGGGCGGCAAGCTCCCCGCGCCGCGCGGTCCTCCCGCCGCGAGGGGGCGACGTTCCTCGGAGCGCCGCCCTCCGCCAGAGGGGCGGCGCGGGGTCGCCGGGAGACGGAGCGCCGCCGCCGCCATGGAGCCGCCCGCCGCGGCCTGGGGCCTCGCCGAACGCACCGGGAGCCGCCCGGGGCCGGCGGGGAGGGGCCGGCCGGGCGGTGGGCAGGGCCGGCGGGGGGGGCAGGCGGCGGCGCGGGGGCTGCTCGGAGCTGAGGTGCGGGCGGGGCGGCGGGAGCCGTGCGCGCTGAGCTTGGCCCAGCGGGGCGGCCGATACGGGTGAGTGCGGGGCGGCGCTGGGGTGCGAGAGCTGAGCCGAGCCGTCGGTCTGTCGCTGTCTGTCTGTCTGTGTGTCGGTGTCTGACCTGTCCTGGCCGCGGGCGGTGGCAGTGCTGCTCCCGGCAGCGCTTATTGCCGTGCCCGGGAAGGAGCCGCCCGGCGTCTTCACGCGGCTCCGCTCTGTTGCAGGCTCGTCATCCACTCGCAGGAGAGGGAGAACTCGGAGCCGGATTACATTCCCATCAACAGCCGCTTTAAGTGCGTGCAAGGTACGGCGTCCTGCGGCGGGCTCTCCCGTGGCAGCTGGAATCCGCTGCCGTTCGTTGGCAAAAACGGAATTTCGTGGCTTTTCTTGACCTCAGGCTCTGTGTAGACTGCGTGCTTCCTCCTGCAAGTAAAACTTGTGGTTTATGGGCTCCTGTGCCTTCCACACTGAGCGGGGCAGCCTTGTCTCAGCACACCTGCAGGGACCTGATGGGCTCGGGTCGCACACAGCCCCTGCTCAGCCCCTGCCAGCAGTGTGTGCACCTCGCTGCTGCCAGGTCTGCCCTTCGGTGCTGGCAGCAGCCGGGAGCTGTGCTCTGATTCCTGGGTGTTCCATTCAAAACCTCCATAAGCTGCCAGCTCCAAACAGCTGCACGTGGGGTGGGAAGTAACTCGAGGTGTTGTCTAGGAAGAACTTAAATAGCAGTGGACGCCCTTGGGGGAAATGCTTGTTCAGCATCTTCTGGTTTAGTTTATAACCTTCTGTATAATTCGGTGTAGTTCCGGCCATCGTTTTTGCTGTGTAAGATAAGCTCTCGGGTTCATTGCCAGACTGGTGTTTCACAAAGGCGCTGTGCCTGACCAGGTATGTGAGAGCTCTGAATATTAGCAGTCTCCTCTGTGACATTTTGATTGTCCAAGCTGTCCAGATGTGCCGTTCTTTCTGCTGGAGCTGTTATTGGTAGCAGAGATGTTTCTTCCTTTCCTAGGACTCTTGTGGCTAGAAGCAGGCAATGTGCTTTTTTGACTGTGTGCTTCCCACAGTGTTCAAGGTGAAGTCTCAGTGCTTTTTCTCTTCTCTTCCAGAGGCAGAAGAAACTCTGCTGATTGATATAGCTACAAACAGTAAGTTTTATAACTACGGACAGTTGCATGTGTTAAGCTCCTTCCAGGAAACTGTGCCCTGTTTTGGGTGCTGATGAGTGCTGCTTTTACCTGCCTCCATGTGTAGTGTCCTTGGACCAGGCTGGGATTGTATTTTGTCAAGTGTTTTCTGGCTTTTATAGGCATCCAGTTGTCACGAGATGGTCTTAACCACCCAAATAAAAGTACTGGCAATTGGTTAAACTTTAACTTCTTAAATCTCTTCTCAAGGCTCTGAATTGGCTTCAGAACCATTCTCATTTCCCTTCCATTTCTTTGACCTGAGCCCCGGTTACTATCTGCCTTTAACAGTGTGCATATAACAGCTCTCTCTACTCACTCATTCTGCTTTCCCTTTCAGTGCTTTCTTACCACTTTTAGAGCTCTTCTCTGTGAGATAGCAGTGGGAAAAAGTTTTCGTAAAAACAGGGAAATGTGCTACTCCAAGTGGGATAAGCTCTGAAGTGCTGTGAAACTTGGTTAGGTGCAAATTGCCATCAGAAAGAGTAGCTGGATGTTGCCTTCCATTGTAGAGCTCAGAGGATATGTAGTAATTCTACTGGCTCTGAGGGTATAACGTCTGTCAAGCAGACTTGACTGTGAGTTTTTGTTTATGTCTGAAGCAGGCTGCAAGATCCGGATACAAGGTGACAAGACAGCTGAGAGGCTCTTTGAAATCCCTGATGAGGAGCATTGCTTGGGGTTCCTCGCAGAAGTGCAGAGCATACAGGAAGGTAAGCAGAGCTATCACTGTAATCCTGAAACCCTCAGGCTATCAGCAGTACCTGATTGGGCTCATTCTGTTTCCAGCTCAGTTAAAAGACGCTCTGCCTGGCCATAAGGACTCAGACAGCTGGCATCAGATGGAGAAAAACCTCCCAAGTCTATCGCAGGCCTCTTCTCCAGGTATTGAAGTGGCTGTCACCTTTGCATGCTCTGTGGTGTGTGCAGAACTGGGCTCTTGGTGGCAAGGATGCTGCATTCGACACTGCCTTCTGACCCATTTCCTTTGCTCACCATATCCCATGCAAAACAAAACATCTTCATCGTCTGATTCTGTTGCCCCGGACTGTACGTTTCTTCTTGAGTTCTGTCTCCTCTCAGTGCCTTGGCTTGCACATGTTAAGTTCTGTTTTGCCTTGACCTCGTCACTCACTTTCTTGTTATCAGAGCTGGTATACTGCTGTTATCGCTTGCTCTTTCAATTCCTGAGGAGCTACATTCCTTCCTTTTTTTGTTCTGAGCTGTATTAAATTGTGCTTGGCTTTTTCTTTATAGGAGCTCTGGGGTTTGAGGATGACTTCAATGCTCTAAGCCTAGAGAAGAAAAGAAACATGCAAAACCACCAAGCAGGCTCTCGCCGGGAACCCCCACCTCCTCCTGTGCCTCCAAGTAGGCAGTAAGTAGCATGGTGAATCTCTTCCCTTTTTTCCTTCTCTTCCTCGACAGCAGAACCAGTTTTAATTCTGCTCTTGCTTCCTTCTGAGGTTTCACCGAGAGAGAGAAGGGACATCAAGAGACCAACCAAAAGTAACCAACACCATGCGCAAAATGTTTTTACCCAGCAACCAATCAGGACAAAGAGAAGGCCTCATCAAACACGTGCTTGGAAAGAGAGAGAAGGAATATGTCAACCTTGAGAACTTCAGGTTAGAGCTGTGACTAGGCAACACTGTGCAGAGAGAGTGACAGGACTTTGTAATCTCTTCTGTGAGCTCAAATCCAGCCCAGGTTTGAAATCTGACAGCTGCTGATGCATTGCCAGCTTGGGTGGTTAAACGGGGGTTTGTGCAGACTGAAAAGAAAAATGTCTGCAATACAGCTTCTCCTTTTGCGTCATTTTCGTTATGAGTGTCAGATCTCTGGACCTTCAAGTAAGACTGAAGCAATTGGCAGAAGGAGAAAAAAGGGAGCTGTCCCACTGCATAGCCTCAGCATCATCCCACACAACATGATTTTAACAGAGCCAGATGTTTGCTGGCCCCAGTGAAATGTCTTTGTTTTTGTAGCATTCTGCAAAATTGGTGTCACTGAAGATGAGCCAAGCTTGGGAATATTTTTAGTTACCCCATAGTTGGCATTACCCTGTGCACGGATTGCTCGTGTGTTCCCTTCTCCCAGCCTGGATGCTGTTTTGTGTGTACTGGAAATACTGGGCTGGTGCCCTGGTTATTGTGTTTTCTTACAGTTCAACTGCTTTTGTATTGTAGATTTTTTGTGGGAACATGGAATGTGAACGGGCAGTCTCCAGACAGTGGCTTGGAACCCTGGCTGGCATGTGACACAGGGCCTCCCGACTTCTACTGCATTGGGTGAGGAGCAATTACCTTGTATTTACTTATGGTGCCAGGTTTCCTGCTTGGTACTGGTGTACTGTGTTTACCTGAAGCTCCTGTTACGTTCTCAGAGGTTGCACAAAGCTGAGCTATGTCTAAAGGAAAATTGCCATTTGGTTGAGTTTCCTGAATTGTATTGCCATAGGGTCTCAGAGGCACTGCTGCTGCTTTAGGAAGAGAGAATGAGGTTTTTCTACCAAGAAGAGATATTTATGAAGTTTTCACGTTGGACCTTCCTGTAGAAAGAGAGTGATCTGTAGCACATTCCACTTCTGCTAAGTTGGCTTGGTTTTAGATTCCAGGAGCTGGACCTCAGCACGGAGGCTTTTTTCTACTTTGATTCTGCAAAGGAACAGGAATGGCTGGCTGCTGTGGAGAGGTCCCTGCATCCTCAGGCTAAGTATAAGAAAGTGAGTTCTGTTGGGTGGTACGGGGGTTTGTCAGAGGATTGGAATTACTGGAAAGAGCATAGAAATGGGTTTCCCCTTTTCTCGCTTGACCCACAAAGCAGACTGGAGGAATGAAGGTGGTTGGTTAGCATGTGTCTGTCAGTCTGTGTGTCAGATATGCTGAACTGAGTCTGGAAAGTCTATTCGTCCTGCTGCTGTAGGGGAATGTTGCACTTTGAAGCAGAAATTAGTAAAGATAGAGATGAAAACAGCTATAAATAAGAGGCAGATTTCAAGGAATTAGTGTGCTCAATAAAACCATAGCAGCAGGTTCAAGTTCTTTCTTTGTGTTACTTTCTCACCATTGTATAGAAACAAGGTGTGTCTTGAGCTGTTAAATGAAATGAATAGTTTCTCCCTGAAGGAATGGAATAATATGTGAGGAAAAATGTTCTGGAGGCTGCTACCTTGAGGCAGAATTGTTTCAGTTGTGGCACCTGCTCTTCGCTCTGCTTGCTTTGAAACAAGCCATTGTTTTTCATCTCTCTGTAGGAAACTGTTTTGCATGAGCTGCTTTCTCCTCCCTTGTTGGCCCGTGTGTTCACTGTCACACCCCTGTGCTGCTTGTTCTGTGTTGAGCTCAGAGCCATGGGTTATAGGTAACAGCAGGAAAATGGAATACCTCACTGAACTGAAGTTTGTGGTGAAGGAGCCAGGGATCATGATGGGAACTGCAAAGGGGCTGCTGTTCTTCTGCCTCTGTGTTATATGAGTAATGCAGGCAAACTTCTTCCACTCTTGCAAAAGGGGGAGGGTATGTCTGCAGGCAGAGAGTAGTGACTGAAATCATAGATAAGCCTTTGTGGTTGCATGCAAACGTCACTCCTGTGAAGTATGCTGAGTTTTCTGGCTCTTCCCACTTATTTCTGTGGTTTCAGCTTCTTCCTTCACTAGGCTTAATCCCAGCACATCTTAATGCCTCTCAGGTGAGCGTGCAGGCTGTGCTCAGGCTGAAGGCCTCGGCACTAGCTCTCAAGGTGATGACCTAGGGCTTGTTTGGAGGGTTCAGGGAGACTGTGGGCCACAAAGTGCCCAGAGAATCATCAGCAGACCTGTGATCCCTGCTGGGGGGTGCACATCAGCACTGCGTTAACACCTGTGAGTTTAGCTCTGCAGCTGGGAAGAACTCCTTGGCTCCAGAAGGGAGACTCTTTGCATTAGAGAAAAAACTGCTGTGCATTTGTGAAGTTTCTGTTACCTTGCAAGACAGCAGTGTTTGTAGGGAAACACCACAGTGGAGAATGTGGTAAGCTCAGCACTGCTGATGGCTGCTGGGAAGTGATGGATTGTCTTCCAGAAGCTAACTTTGGGACAGGAGTATCCTTTGAGTGCTGCTGCAAGCATGGATTGAGTACAAAACATAATGAGGGACTGAGAAGGACAGAGAAGTCAGGCAGAGCAGACAAACTGGACATGTGTTACCACTGCCCTTCTGGAAACTTAGGATTGCTTTTATTTTTGCAGGTGCAAATGGTCCGTTTGGTTGGGATGATGCTGCTTGTGTTTGCTAGGAAGGATCAGCTGAGCAACATCAGGGAGGTGGTGACAGAGACTGTGGGCACCGGAATCATCGGAAAGATGGTGAGTCACCAAGGCCAGTCTATTGCTTCTCTGTACCCATGCAAGAAATGGCACTGTCTGATCCTGTTCTCATCTCTGTGCCATCCCTGTGTTCTCCCTGATGCCTTGTGTGTGTGTTCTCCTCTAACAACCTCTGATACCTGCCCAGGGCAACAAGGGCGGCGTGGCAGTGCGCTTCGTGTTCCACAACACCACCTTCTGCATTGTCAATTCCCACCTGGCTGCTCACGTGGAGGACTTTGAGCGACGGAACCAGGACTATAAGGATATCTGTGCCCGGATGAGTTTTGTAACCCCTGATGGTACTCTACCTCAGTACAACATCATGAAACACGAGTGAGTTTTGCTGTCTTCCGTTCTTGAAGCAGTGTTAAATAATAGAGATCAAGCCAAAATCACAGCAACAAGAAGTTTTGCTCTGTTAAGTTTTTTGACTTAGTTAACTAACTTTAGTGTAACTAAAAATGCCAAGGCACCTGGTGCACCATAGCACCTGCAGCCAAGCTGCCAGGTCACTTTCTCTGCAGTCACTCGGGCACTCTGTCTGTAATGGCATTTTCCTCACATATAACGTTCTCATTTCAAGCAAACAGCATTTCTGAGTCAGTGGCTGAGCATTACAGAGTTTGAAAGTGCAGTGGGTTGTATCGTGGTAGTAAATGGAGTGTGAATATGGGAAGAAAAGGGTTAGCAGGATGGGCAGAGTTTGTGCTTTTTAGACTTTGTGTTTAATGAGTGTTTACAGTGAGGTGGCAGACAGGCAATACTTGATTTTATTTTTTTTTTTTGTTATGGAGTGACGTTGGTGCTGTATAATCCAAACCAAGCCCCATCACGTGGACAACAAAGCACATAAATTAACCTTTCATAAACATACTACAAACTAACGATAGTTCTGTAGTTAATTATTAAGCCATTAAAAATGTCAAGTGTTAGATTGTCCTTGATAATTCTCTAATGGAAAACTTGAGGTTTAGTTATAGACAGGAAGAGCTTTGATACTAAAGGAAGGGTTAGATTTTAATCCTTGAATGAAACCTTTATGGGCTAAAGAGAGAGTATCAGCAGGATGTAGGTCTGTTTGGAAACCCGGAGAGGAGCAGAGTAAGAACAGGTACTGATGAGATAGGGCTGGTAGATAAGACAGAAACATTCTAGAGATCATAAGATTGAAGGGAGCATACCTGTGCTTTTGCAAATTGTGCATCAGTCAGTCTGTGCTGGGTAAGTGATAAGGCAGTGGGAAATAAACTGGTAAAACCATGGTATGACACAGCCTGCAAGCATGCAGATACGTGCATGTAAGCCTGTGTAACTGATCAGCAAGCAGGAGTGAGTTCTGTAGTCATCACCTTCTGTATGCAGGAAGGGTGTGAGTACCAGGTGGATTTTGTGTAGCTTGGGAGGATTTGAAGCCTTGGTGGGACACATGGGTTTTGCTTCATTTAAGATTTGGTGGTGGTCTTAAGGCTATTTTCAGCCTGAGGCAAACTCTAATATTTCTCATTAAACTGAGTCTTCAATCTCATGTGGGATTTCAAAGGAGATGCTGTAAAGGACCAACAGGAGGGGTGGGACAGATGCCACTAGAAATTTCTACTGTCAAACTCAATTTTTCAGGTCTCTGTTGTCTTCTGTGCGTTTCAGTGTTAATCAGTCCTGACCAGCAGCCAATTCTCCTACCCACTCCTTCCCTGTGTGGTTTACAATACTGACTGCTGCCTCTTTTCCGTGTTTGTTTTCAGTGTTGTCATCTGGCTAGGAGACTTGAACTACAGGCTTTGTATCCCTGATGCCAATGAAGTGAAAAGCCTTATCAGTAAGAACGAGCTTCAGAAGTTGTTGATGTACGACCAGGTCAGTGAACTCCACCTTTGTTTGCTCCGTACTTGTGAAGTCATCTTGGCTCACGTTGTGCCTGTGCTTGGGAGGAGCTGGCAGGCTCTCTGCAATAAGTGTCTATAGGTAGTGATGCTAGAACATAGACAGAGCTCTGAGTGTCTTGGTGACATCAGCCCCCTAAACCAAACAGGCTTGTAGGCAATGCTGGGGCTAGCTGTGACTCAGACAGTTGCTATGGAAGTGTCTTTGAGTCTTGCTGGAAGATTTTTCTTGTAAGGACATGCTATAAGCTGGAGCACAGGAATTTGTAACAGCAACAACAGCTACTGTAGTCAGGTGTCCTGAAAAAGGTATTGATTTAGAGACCATGACTTGGCTGCTCAGACAGTTTGACCTAAATTCTGTGCTGTGGTCTTTCCCACTTAGTGTTTCTTTACGGCATGCTGGAATGCAAGACAGCACCTGATGTGTCTTTAAGAAGAAGGATTCTACCTGTGAAATGTGAACAAATATAATGGCATCTCTGACACATGGTTTAACAGTAAATCTGATTGTTTGTGTTCTGTAGCTCATTTGTGCTGTACTACAGAGCTTCAGGCAGGGAACAACTGCAGCTTAGATTTTTTGTGAGAACAAAATCTTGGAAGCCTTGCAGCAGAGTAAAAGAGGAAAGGGAAGCAGTGTCAGGTTGTCATCTGAGCACAGTTCTGGATGCTTTTGCTAAACAATTGACAGTGAAATATTAATGATGGTGATGCTTAAGCCTGAAAACCGATGAAGGTATTTAGCATAAGTGGAACAATTAATATTTCTCTGTGTGGTATGGTGAGCAGGTGCCTGGTTGTGTTCAGTCTGTTTGGAAAACACCCTACTGGTATGTTGAGTTTTGACCTTTGTTAAAGGTGTAATATGGTAGTTTTGGGGATGTTTGTGGTAAATCCTGTGGTCACAAGTTGCAGTTTCTCTGTCTGTAGTTCTGTTCTCTGACTCTGCTGGGGAGGGTGGGTTGTTTGGGGTGGTTTGGTTTTGGGTTTGTTTTTGTTTATCTGGGTTTTTGTTTTGGTTGGGTTTTGAAAAATGACCTTTTTCTGCTTCTAGCTGAATATCCAACGTGTTCATAAGAAAGCATTTGCAGATTTCATGGAGGGAGAGATTAAATTCATCCCTACATATAAATATGACTCTAAAACAGATCGCTGGGATTCCAGGTAAATGTGTTGCTAATTGACATATTCTTGCAAAAGGTGATTTCCTGCTTCTTAAAGGTAGAAATGCCTCTCAGTGTTACGGTGGTGACTAGAGGGCACAGGCAAGCTTGTACTCCTTTGTTTTCCCTACTACTTTGAATAGGCACATCCTGTGCACGCTGAGCAGACGTGTGTCTTAAACCTCAGTTGTTGTGATTCCAATACATGAAGGGAGGTAAACTGAACTCACAGATGCCTCTGCACTGGAAGGGTTTTTATTGCTACCAGAGACAAACAGCATAGAAGAAGTTGGAGAGGAAGAAATGCTCTCTGTGAGTCATGCTGTCCCCTGACTTGCACACCCCCAGGGATGGCTACCTTGGGGTAGCAGTAGGGGTTCCTCCTGTTGCTGTCTGCTTCATGCCTCCCATGAACGTTTGTGTATCTGCTGCAGAAACTTGCTGTAAATTGTGAAACTCTCAAGAAGGTGTTCCAAACCATATAGCAATCAGATATTACTCTGCCTGTGTTTATGAATCAGCGCTGCAGTTAACCTGGAGAAGGAAAACCCAGGATTCAGACTTTGTAACATAATAGTAATAGCTGAGTAGGCTTTTCCTAATGGAAATGGTGGGTGGTGGATCGAGCTATAATGTGCAGAAGGGCAGCAGAAGAAACTAGTTCAGTTTGGGTCCTGCTGCACATGGACTCAGAGTGTGGAAACAGTGCTGTTTGTGGTCATAGTTTCCTGGTGCTGGAAGGGATTTTAGCTACCATAGAGGGAAGGGGAAGAAAGCAGAAGAAATCCCATAACATTCCAGCTGAGGGAAGTGTGGGAGTTCATTCCACCACTGCTAATGTACTCATTGGTGGCAGGGGTGGGGGGAGCTGCCTGGCCAGGAAGAGGAACAGCTTGGACGTTGATTAGAACTGTTGGATTTCCTTGTTAACCTGCGTTTCCTTGTAGTGGAAAGTGTCGTGTGCCAGCGTGGTGTGACAGAATCCTCTGGAGGGGTGGGAACATCCATCAGCTCCACTATCGCAGCCATATGGACCTGAAGACCAGTGACCACAAGCCAGTCAGCGCGCTTTTCCACATTGGGGTAACAACTCTTTTCTTCTGTGGAAGAACAGGACTTCAGTATTGTCTTGCATTCCTTCAGGAGGTGGTCTTGTAGCCAAGGCACAGCTGTGAATGCTGTGACAAGAGGACAGAGAAAATAAAAAATGAAGTGTGTCTGCTTGGTAGGTGTGCTGCTACTTGACAGCCGTGCCAGCCTCTCCAGAGCAAACAGCAGCTGTGGTCTTCATGTGCTGTGTAGCCCAGGTGTGTAGTGCTGGGACAGTGTTATACCAAAGTGCTGCAGGTGTTTGCTGTCCTTTACCCTAACAGATGTAGTTATGCAATAGGGAGGAAAGCAGTCTTACTGGCTGCTTTAATGATGCTGCTTATCTTCTGGGCTATATCCTGAAGGATGGTGAGTGATGCTGCAAGATGGTACTGCTGTCCTACAGAGATCACCCCCAGCAATCTCCCCGTAGTGTGAGCCGTTGCCCAGAAACACCCCCAAAAGAGTTCCTGTGAAGCTGATCAGAAGCTTAGCTGGGCATTTTCTGATTTTCCACAGGTAAAGGTTGTGGATGAGCAGAGATATCGAAAGGTGTTTGAAGATATCGTCCGCATGATGGACAGAATGGAGAATGACTTTCTTCCTTCGCTGGAGCTAAGCAGGAGAGAAGTGAGGATGAAATCCAAATCACTGACCACTTCCCAAACACATCAACTTCAGAAGTGCTAGATTTGATTCACCAAACTGAATTGTAGGAAATTTATCTGTTATCTTGTGATCAGAAGTTAGATTAGAAGGAGCATCTTACCTTGTCTTCTTGACAGATCTCTTAGAAGTTTTCATTGTGTAGGCTCGTAGGCCACAGGTTGCCATGATGGAAGGCCTGGGTGACTATCTGTGTGTTCTCTCATTGCTACTAATGTGATCTGTGTTTTCTGCTCTCATTGCAGTTTCAGTTTGAGAACGTGAAGTTCCGGCAGCTGCAGAAGCAGAAGTTCCAGATAACCAACAATGGACAGGTTCCCTGTCACTTCTCCTTCATCCCAAAGCTCAGTGACAAGCAGTACTGTAAGCCCTGGCTTCGGGCTGAGCCTTGTGGAGGTTACCTGGAGCCAAGTGAGTATTGCTGCTGTAGTAGCATGTTGGTGCAGATTGCCATCCCATCTCTGATCAGTCCTTCCCTTCTTTGCTGGGTCTCACCCTTCCCACCATCATCCTTGTTTGTCTGCTCTGGTTTGTGGCCATTGTCCCTGTTGTGTATGTCTTTGTCGCTGTGAGGAGTGCATCTCTGTTGATGAGAGCTGCTGCTTGTTGCAGATGAGAGCGTGGACATCTCCTTGGACGTGTATGTCAGTAAGGACTCCGTAACCCTGCTGAACTCAGGCGAGGATAAAATTGAGGATATTCTCGTCCTTCACTTGGACAGAGGGAAGGACTATTTCCTCACCATCAGTGGGAGCTACCTGCCCAGCTGCTTTGGCACCTCCCTAGAGGCCCTGTGCCGAATGAGACAACCCATCCGGGAAGTTCCAGTCACCAAACTCATTGACCTGGTAAGCAGCATTATTGCTGGAGCACAGGCTGCTGTCAGTGGGCATGTCGTATTTACCCTGTGGTTCTCTTAGCAGGGAGAGAACATATTCCCTTCTAAAAGCAGGAGTAATGCCTTCTGCTTGGGTTAGCTGTGCTGGCTCTAAGCTGATTTACTTCTTCCAGAGTGCGCGATTGTTTTTTGTGATTTCCTTCCACCACCAATGGCTTCTGGTAGCCTGTGCTTTATCTGTGATTTCTTTGACTAGATCCTAAATACTACATGGTGTTGAGACAGAGCAGTGATTCCATCTCCTTGTGTGTGCATTGCTGCCTGTTGGTGCTGGCATGCTCAGATTGAGTGGCACTGATGTGCCATAAGCAGTATGACTGAAGTACTCTCTTCTGAGATGGCATGGAGAGGGCTACAGGTCCATTTCCTTCTGGACAGCTGTGGTATTTGCATTGCTTATGGAAAGGAACAGGCAGGAATGGGACCGAAGAAAGGAACTTGGTGCTGTTCAGTATGCTGATGGCTACAACTCAGCAAATGGCCAGTCCTGCAACCTCTCCAGTCACTTCCTGTCATGCTAACCACTGTGAGCAAGCTCTTCTGCAGTGCGGAGATAACTCTTAATCTCCCCAAATTTCACCAGTCCCTAGTTAATATACATACTTCTGAAACCACTTTTATGTCTACAAGATATTGTTTGTGCCCTTGTTATCTTTTGCCTTTTTGGTGGCTGTTTCTGGGTTTACATCCTGTTTGGGGGCATTAAGTCTTGTTTTCAGCCTGCTTTCATTCCTGTTTTCTTACGGCCTTTCCTGGCCTTGCTTCAACACAATTTAACAATTAAGTTGTTGAGTTTTAGTCCACTTACCATTCCTGTTCAGCCAGGAAGGCCATTTATATTCTGTTCACGTGAACAGTTAGGCCAGTTCTGTCAGTCTCTCTGATGTGTTATAGCTGTCCTCTCTTCTCATACTTTACAGTCTTGTCCTTTCATTCATTTCTTTGATGAGCAGCTGCTTACTCACATCTGTAGATCTGACAACTTCCACTCCTGCTGGCTTAAGCTCCTTTCTCTTCCCTTTAGTAGCTGCCCCACCCTTGCTGATTCTTCCAGTTCCCTCCCTTTCTAGTAAACATCCACTTTTCTCATTGGCCCAACATGCAGAAAGACCACTGTTATGCTAGAATTATGCTTTTTGTAATCACAAGATTAGGCTAAGAAGAATCCAGGTGGCAAGGTATAGGTTTATAGGTTTTTTGCCTCCTCAATTCTAGCAACTAATCCAGGCCTCAAGCTCCTCAGGCTTTTCAGGATTCAGCTGTTAGTCATCCTTCTTGTTTTGGAAATGTGTCAGGTTTGGTCTGGAGCATTTTGTCAGTCTTGGCGACTTCCTTAGATTCTCAGTGCTCAATGCTGACTTCTTGCTTGATGGATAGGAATCAGGTCTGGCCTTTCTGTCCTCTTGGATACACGCTATTGCTTTTCTGTCTGAGTAACTCTTCTTTGACACCTCTTCAGCTTCCATTACCTCTAGATTCTTTCTTGTGTTATTCAGTGAAATGTAGAGAAGTACAGGAAGCAAAACAATCAGAGAAGAGTGAAATATGAAAGCACTCTGTCCCAATATCTGCGGGAAGGCAGCAGTCTCTTCAGTCAGTGAGGTCACTTTGATTGCAGTACTTCAGCTGGAACTTGTAAAGCAGACTGAAGGAATAAAATGTGTCACAGCCCAAAGCTAAGTTTAGTCAGATTATGAAGCTAGTGTCACGTTAGAGCTATTTCAGGCCTGTTGTCTTTGATCATACCTGTGAGTTGAGAAATTCTCAGAGACAGGAAAAGACGAGCACTTTCTACAGGGGAGAACAGTGAGTGTGTTAACCACTGCACAGCCCAGAGGTGTTCTAGTCCAGTTACACGTATTTAGCAAATGTTCAGACTGTGCAAAGAAGGCAGTGTGTTTGTACAGTAAGCATTCTCTCTCTTGCACTTACATGGTGTAAGGGCTTCACTGCATCAAGCATTTTTCTTGGCCTGGCAAAACTGTTATCTTCAGCAGAGGGAGATTTGGGGTGTGCAGCTCAGTGAGGGTGTGAGAGGCAGTCTGGTGCAGGATAGCAAAGTGTAGGTGGGAGTGTTTGGAAATGATTCTCCTGGTTTTCTCAGGAGAAGCTGCTGCCACTTGAGCATCCTGCTTTTGGAATTTCAGTATTAGCCTCTCTTCATCTTGTTTTTCTTTCTTGGGGTCCTACTGTAGGCTTTAAGAAGCCTCTTGAAAAGTCTTTCTCAGATGTGTGTTAGTCTTATGGAGCCAATTGTGCTGAATGCCCCAGGAAGAGAGGCAAGGAGCAGGACGGGCAGGCAGGGAGGTGGCAGTGAGGCTGTTGCCATCACTCACCCACTTACCAAACTAGCCATGCTTCTGTGCAGTGTGGCTCTCTGCTGTCCTGAACCTGTGACTGCAGTCACTCCCCTGGTGCCTTGGAAGAAGAGCCTGTGCTATCTCATCGATGGAGCAAACTGCTCTCTGCAGGGGGCTGATCTGTCCTAGTTGTGTTAGAACACAGCAAGCATCCAAAAGAAGCAGACACATGACAAGTGACAGGGGAGCAAAGGGGCTGCTCCCACCAGGCATGTCCTGCACCTTGGCTGCTGTAGCTTTGCGTCCAGCTCAGCCCTTGAATTGTTTGTTTGCTCACAAGCTGAGAGGTCGATCTGCTACAATTTAGCTTGCTTCCTCTTGTGCTCTTTGCTAAACAGTGTCTTAAGCAGTCAGCTAGCATGGCACTGTTGAGCTTCAGCGTTGGCTGAGGGATTGGACATGCAGCCTGGAGGGGCTTTGGCATGCTCCTCAGTGCAGTGTGCTAATGCTATTAGGTTGAGACAGACGAGCAGCCTGGGGTTTTGAGCACAAACGCTCATTTCCCTGACTATACACAAAGCTGCTTAGAGGGCCTGCTAGCTCCACAGCTGCCACACACTCAGAAATACAGATTTAGCCTGGTGTATGTTTTCTCTCTGGCCTGGTCACAGGAGAGATGGCTGAAATAATACAGGGACATCTATTTCCAACAGGGCAGATTCAAAAAAGGGAACTTCTTCCTGGCAGAGATTTCTCATCTGCCTGTGGCTCAGCAGTGAGCAGCAGTGCTGCAAGGCTGCTTTGAGGAGTTCACAGAAATCCTGGTGAAGCTGTGCATCATGTGAGCAGGATTTCTGCTAACTGGCAGGCAAATCTCCCACTGTAGGTTTAGTTTTGGCCACGTCAGCAAAACGTGTGAAGGAGCTGGCGTTCGGTGGGTTCTCATAATGCCTACTGTGTGTCTGCTTAATTTGAGATCACGTTCTCTCTCTTAATGATACTTTTTCCTCTCTTTCCCACTGCTCTCAGGGAGAAGACAGCTTCTTAGAAAAGGTAACACAATCAATTGCTGGGAAAATCTGCTTCTTGGTGACTTGTTTGTAAAGAATGAGAGTTGGTTTTCTGCTGAAGAGGGGAGGGGAGGTGGGCCCAGAGGGAGTGCTTTTTCCAGCAAAGCCTCTTAGCGCAGCTGTGGGCCCAGAATAGAAGAGAGCACACAGGAGCACAAAGTGACCCCACAGACAAGATGGGGCCAGCCCAACTGAGCTGCTTAAACCTCACCAAATATGCTACGGGCAAAACCAACCAAACAAAGCACCTCCTGATCCAGGCAGCAGTGGTGAATACTTCCAGCAAAGACTGGCAACCTGTCACGTATGTGAATTAGCTCTAACCACACTACAAGGTGGATTCACCACGGCAGCCTTCCCACATGTGGGGAAAGCACTGAACCAACCAACTGCAATCTTTTGCTCTTTCCATCTTGACGTGCCCTCCTGCAGGAGGCAGATGTTCCTCTGCTTCCTCCAGCGGCGGCGCTTGGGCTGCCACTCCTTCCTAGCAGCAGGGAAGGGAGGATTTGGGTGCCTCCTGGGAGCATCCTTTTGCAGAGCATCTTACTTCCTGCGGAGAGAAGGCGGAGATGCCTTCTGTTCCTCGCAGACGGCAGGAGAGGGCGCTCGGTGCCCAGCTGATGCTCAAGGACAGCCCAAGCCTCCTCTGCCTGTGCTCCAGCAGCTGGGAAGGGCTCAGCAGCGCTCAGGAGGGCAGCCTGGCAGAGCGTGTGCTGCTCTGCTGCTCGGCCCCAGCGCTACGATGCCCCGCAGTGGAGATTTGTTTGGTGATGAGCCTTTAGCTCTCAAGGAGGGTCCACAGCTCTTGCCTTTTTTCTCTTAGAAGGAAGTAGTGAGTAATGTGCTTGCTTAACTGCTTCTCAAGCTTCCCTGTGTGTGCTTGGATGGGTGAGGTAGGTGTGTAGCCATGACCCAGCAGGGTGAAACTGAGTGGTGTGTGGGGCAAACTTGTGCTGTGCTGTGTGTCAAATGTGACCAGTGCCTGTGTTGTTGGGGGCTCGAATCAGGGGAATGCAAACCCAGCCCAAGCTGGCTGTGGGTGATTGTGTGCACTGCACAGGGACAGAGATCACAGTTGTCATGGAAGCTAGCAGCAAAAATGAAGTGCTTTATGTTGGGCTTGTGGTGCTCCTCTGCTGGTGTCCTTCAGATGTGTTCCTGCTTGTGTTGGTCTCTTCTGGGTGGCTCTGCTGATTTTGCTTTGGGAGAGCAGTGTGTGGTATTTCCTTGTGAGCACACAGGAACGTGAGCAGTCATAAAGTGAGAATAAAATGAAGCAAGAAAATCTTGTTAAAGATCGGTGTATGGAGATTTGTAAGCAGTTGAGCTCCTCAGCAGCCTCGCGTGAGTACAGCAGGAAAACATGAGAGTGGTGTCTGTGTAGCCTGTGTTCAGCAGGCACCTCTATTTAGGAAAATCAGGAAACAAACTTCAGAAAACCAAGCTGTTTGAGAGTCACGTGTCATCACAGTACACAGGAGCCAGTAAAGACATGTCCTTGACTGTACATCCAGAGATCAGCTGGGCTTAAACTAAAACATGGAAGCTAATGCACCAGCAGGACTCGTTATGCTGTGATCCTCTGATGGTGGGAGTGATGACTTGGACAGGTCATCTCGTCCTCTGAGAGCTGGTGGCTTCGGGGACTGTCATCTGCTGGTTCATGACGGGCCAGCAGGTTGTTCTGTGGGGTGGTGGGAGGGAGTGGGGCAGGGTTCTGATGTCTCTGTGCTGCAGGAAGTGGACCAGGTGAGTCCTGGGTGCTGCTTCTTCCCTCCTCCAGGCTTTCTATACCAAAACCCTTCTGGAGAGACTGGAGTTTCCCCATAACCTTGTGTGCTCTTTGCCACCAGGAGAAGTCTGTGCTGCAGATCGGCTTCCTGAACAGTGAGGATGCAAGTGAGATGCCACTGCAGATGCCAAAGGAGATCTGGCTCTTGGTGGACCACCTGTACAAGCGTGCTTGCCACCAGGTGAGGGAGAGGGCTTCTGCCTGCAGGGGGAAGCTTTTGAGAGCTTAGTGACTCGGTTTATCAGTGGCACCTGCAGATCAGCTCCAGTTTGGTGTTTATAAAGCTTTTCCCCTCTGCTTGAGCTGTTGCCTGGGTACCAGTTCTCACCCTGCCTTCACTGTGTGCCTCAGCTTCCATGAGGAAGGTGACTTTTCTCATCCCTGTGCTGACACCGCTGTCTTTGGCAGGAGGATCTGTTTCAGACTCCAGGCATGCAAGAGGAGCTGCAGCAGATCATTGACTGCCTGGACACCAGTATCCCTGAGACAATCCGTATCCTTGCTGCACATGGCATTCCCAGGAGCTTGCTGGATCTCGGTTCTGCTGTGAAATCTCCCTTGGGAGAGCTTTTGTGGTAGGGTCCCATTGGGAGGTCTGGCTCTGCTCTGCACCCCAGAGGCACCCTCTGGCTAGTACAGCTGCAGGGAAGCTGCTGTGAGGCTGTGCTGAGAGCAGGAATGACAGTTGGGTTCTGGGGAACGTGGCCTGGAGAAGGGGCTGCTGGAACAGAGGGTCTCGGGGGTGGGCAAACGCAGTGCAGCGTGCATGTGACAGCATTTTGTGTGGTTATGGGAGAGCAGAGAGGGAGGGCTGGGAGGCAGCCTGCAGGGAGGAAGCAGCAGCTAAGCAGACAGGAAGGCAGAGAGGCAGGGGGGTGATCCATCTGCTCTGTGTGCTCCTTGACTCCTTCTGCCCAGCGGGCAGCAACCACTCTGTGGCTGAAGCACTCCTCATCTTCCTGGAGGCTCTGCCAGAGCCGGTGATCTGCTATGAGCTGTATCAGAGGTGCCTCGACTGTTCTCATGACAGCCGGCTCTGCCGACAGGTGAGGAGACTTCCCTGCTGCTCTGAGCTCTGGCTTGGTGCTGGGGCTCACTGTGTTCCTATGGGCTGGCGTGAAGCTTTGGGAGGGTGTGCTCTGGGGCAGTTCGTGAGTACAGTGAGCTGGGTGCTCTGGCTGTGCTCTCCTGTCAGAAAGCTGTTGCTGCCATCCCAGGGGAGCTGGGGGCTTCCAAAGAGACCCCAAGTGTGCACAGTGTCACCCTGAGCACATGAGGAATAGCCCCAGGGATTGAAACAACCTCCCCTGGTCTCAAGGGCTTAAGCACCTGCAGAGCACCACAGTTCCTGTGCTTCCTCTAAGGACTGTGACTGAGCAGCTCCTAGAAGCAGCTGTTGGGGCAACAAGCAAAGCCAGGCATGTCCTCAGGCAGAGGAAGAAATCAGACATGTTTCAGAACTGGCCTCAGGAAGCCTCTCATCCTGGTCCTGGCTGCTGCATGCAGCTGGATCCAAGCAGAAGATGAGAGGGAAGGAGCCTCAGGGCAGTGTCAGGTTTTACCTGGTGATGTGGTTCTCCTAGAGGGAGAGTTAGGCAGGAGCTGAAGCAGTGCCATCAGCCATGAGCTGCAGCTGGTGGCTCACTGGTTGTGCAGCAGAAGGGGAAGGCTGCCTGCCTGCAGTCCAGAGTTCCACAGCTCGGCCTGGCTGGAGCAATGTGCACTTTGTGTTTTCTTTGCAGGTGATTTCTCAGCTGCCTCGCTGCCATCGCAGTGTGTTTCGGTACCTGATTTCGTTCCTCCGAGAGCTGCTCAAATACTCTGAAGACAACAATGTCAGTGCTACCATGATCGGTAAGGCTGTCTCATCTCTCCACCTTCTCCCTGAAACACATCCCCTCCTCGGCACCTCTCAGGTCTCCATTCCTGATCTGTGACTTTGCCTCTGCAGCCACCTTGTTCACCAGCCTCCTCCTGCGGCCTCCCCCCAATCTGATGTCCAAGCAGACCCAGCAGGACCGCCAGCGTGCCATCAACTTCCTCTATGGTTTCTTGCTTGCCGGGGATGAGGAGTGACTCCTGCCTCTTGCCAAACTGGGCCCCGTGCCACTGGTGGCTCCTGAAGGGCAGAAGGCTCTAAGCTACTCCAAGTGCCGTGTTTACAGTTGCAAGGGAAGCGTTGTGCTCTCCTTCCCGCTGCTGTACCCCACACTGCAGAGGATCATTGCACTCATTGCACTGCCATCCATGACAGGAGCTTCCTGCTTTTCTCCCCCGGATCTGGCTGGATCTGCTGATAGCTGAGCACGCTGCCAGCAGCCGTTCCTTAGTGTCACCAGTTCCCTGCACCACGCTTCTCTCTCCTTGTCACCCCCTGGAGTCGTTGCAGGGAAGGGTGGAGACTGCTGGTGCTGTTGTCCCTGCGGTGCTGGTGAGAGCTCTGTGCTGTTACAGGTGTTGGGCATGTGCCACCCTCAGCCATGCAGCAGACTAAACCCAACACACCATCACTGTGCTATGAAAGGACTGTGCCAGGAGGGTTATCTGGACGTGTGGCCTCCTCCCTTCCCTCCATTAGTGCAGTATCCTCTTTCCTGCTTCCTTGTCTGTGGGTAAGGCTTTGTCGTTCCTGGCCCCTGCTCTGGCCCCTGGGTTTCTGGCACCAGAGCATTGCCTGCTCTCCCCTCTCCGTTCCCGTGTGCCCTGGCTTCCTTCTGAGCCAGTGGTGCTGGTGGCTGGGTGGAGGAGCCTGCATCAAGCAGCACTGTGGGCTGCACACAGTTTCTCTGGGGCATGGCACGGAGCAGGACCCAGCTCCTGGACCCCAGCCCTGCCTGAGGGGAAGCAGGTCTGGGGCTGCGGGCAACGTTGGGTGCCTTCCTATCTGTCCTGATGGGGAGAGGGTGAGGGGTGAGAATGGGCATCAAGTGTAGCAGGAAAGGAGCTGGGGGCCTCTGGTGCTGAGGGGCTGGAAAGGGGGCTGCAAGTGGGGAGCCTGACCCTGCTCAAACACTACGCCGAGCCCTGCCTGCACTGGGAGCTGCGGGTGCCTATGTTCAGCCTGAGACCCACGTACCCAACCACATCCCACTGCCTGTGTTCCCCTGCAGCCAGGGATCCAGGACCTTGAGGCTCTTATTGTAGTTTTTGTTTTTGTTTTGTTTTTTATTTTTAAATTACATAATTTATTGGAAATCTGTCTGTTCCAAATAAACCTCAGTTGTGCAAGCAGTGGTTTGGCCAGGCTGGGGCTCAGACCAAGCCTGCTGCCCATCACATCACAGGGCTGCAGCATCCCATGGCACAGAGCTGTCCCAAGTGCTGGTACCAGCGCTGGCCCTGATGCCACATGGGGTGCTGGGCAGTGGGCACAGCTCTGTGCTCTGCACAACACCGAGCCCCCCAGCGCTCCTGGCTCAGCATCTGGAGCAGAACTGGAGAAAGCTGGCCGCATCCTGCCGCAGGAAACTGCAACCACTGTCATCTCCATCTGCATCCTGCCTGCTCCTTGAGCACAGGGCTGTGCCTGGGCAGCTGCTCCTGACCTCGTCACGGAGAGGACCGGCGCAAGGTGCCGCATTGTTCCTACAGCCACCACATTCCTGCCACTGCCGGCGGAAATGCCGGAGAGGGCGCGAAGCCTCGTGGATCCCCAGGGACAGAACGAGGCCTGGCCTGCGTGTCCTCGAGGCTGTGCAGCTCCATGGAAGCTGGCAGCGCACAGCTCTGAGCCCTGCAAAGTGTTTGGGGATGGAGTACAGCCGGTTCCCATAGTGGTGATGTCTGTGCAGTGGGAGCAGCGCGGTTGGTGGCATCCGCGTGTCCCTGCTGGGCTCTCTGGCACCCTGCTGTCACTGTGCTGACAGGACTCTCACACACACACACACACACGCACGCACGCACGCACTCGAGTGCCAGGGGCTGTGCACCCACCCTCTCAGCCCTCCTGCAGCAGGTGAGCAGCTGGCAGAGCACACAGCACAGCACAGGGAGAGTGGTGCAGCCCGGCAGCCCCCACCTGCCCACGGGCAGCCAGCCAGGCCAGGAAAAGCCAGAGATTCCTTCGGTCTCCTGGCCCAGGAGCCTTTTCCTCCAGCACCGCTGGCCACGGCCCAACCGGGGGGACCTCCCCGGCCTCCCCCTTCCAGGGCAGCCATGAGGCCGCTGGGCGGGGGCACCGCATCCTAACCCCCGTACTGCGGTACCCAGCGGCACGGCAGCCTTCAAACCCTGCAGAGGGGAAGAACCCAGCTGGCTGTGCAGGGCTGTGCAGGGCGGTGCAGGCGTGCGGCGTGTCGGGATCGCGCTGGCACACGGCCGGGAGTGCATCCCTCCCGGTCCCCGAGGATGAGCTCATGGAGGCCAGCTGGGCCCAGCCCCGCTTCCCCCGGGCCCCTGCTTGCAGCCCCGCAGCTGCAGACTTTCCGCTCCTCCGTGGCCCCGTTAACCCCCTCCCCCCCAGCACTGCAGCCCTGTGTTGCCTGCGGGACCCCCACCACCGTGCCCTCCTCGCTCTCCCAGGGCAGCCCAGCACCCCTCCTGCAGGGGATGGAGGGCTCAGGGTCCCCGCACTGCACTGCCCTATAGTGCTGTCCTGATTTGGGGGATTCTGGGGTGGTCCCATCTGTTTGCACAGCTCTGCCCCCATCCAAGTGTGAGATCTGCTTGCTGAGCCCTAAGCTGCCGCCCTCCTGTGTGGGCCTGGAGGGACACCAGGGAGAGGTGCCTGCAGCTGCTTGCCTACCGGGACCCACAGCAATGGGGACACTGGGAACTGGAATGGCAAGGCAGGGCTGCCAGGGACATCAGCAATAGGATCACCAGGGACATGGATACCAGAGGCAGGGACACCAGGAATAGGGACACCAAGAATAGAGATGGCAGGGAGGACGACACCAGGAGCACAGACTCTGGAATGGGGACGGCAGACGGGGGGACAAAGGGACCCGGAGCATGCGGTGAAGGGCTGAAACAGGCTGGGTGTTCAGCAGCCACCAGAGGATGGCAGCAACCAGAGGTGCCCAGGACCAGGCAGCCCAACCCCAGACACGGGTGCTGCACCCAGTAGCTGGTAACCACGGCAACATCAGCATCGTGGTGCTCACACCCTGAGTTACAAACCACTTCTGGCTGAAGAGATGCACAAGGCCCCATGTCACAGCACTGACACCATCAGCAGCACCATGAGGACAATGATGGGATGCGTCCCTACTCAGGGCACAGAGCACCCCAGCCCCACAGGCTGCAGAATGTCCCACAGCCCTTCGTTCAGTCTCCCACCACACCACCACCACAAGTGCTTACTGTCATCATAGCTCTTTATAATAAAGATGTATTTACACAGAACAATTCTTTACAGACATGACAGACACGGTGACCAGCAGGACCCGGCACCGCTGCGGCCCTTTTGGGGTACATCAGTGCTTCCTGCAGAGCCCCGGGGGGTGGGAACCCCACAGTGCAGCTCACACGGGGTCAGCATCACAGGAATAAATAGACCCCTCTGGGAGGGGATGGGGCAGGGCCCCACGGAGAGCTCCTCCGCCAGACAAAGTGCTTTATGCAGAGCCCCTGGACCTGGCACACTGGGATCAGGGCACGGGGCACTGGGAGGACACGGTGCCAGAGCCACCAGGGACAGCTGCAGGGAGGTGATGCCAGCTCAGGGACGAGCAGAGCAGGCAGTGGGGATGCATCCTCGGAGCGCTGGCGGTGGTCCTGCAATGAGAGCAAAGCCTGTTGGGATGAGTGAGCTGCAGGCACCGCCATGCGTGTCCCCTCCGCGTCACTCACCTCCATCAGAAGGGCATGGGGCCCTTATGGGACAGCCGTGGCCGGGGCCGGCGGATCCTCCTCCACCCTCCTGGCCGCCGCACGTTCCCACGCCGCGCACCCCGTGGCCGCACCAGCGTTCGGATGAGGCCGTCCTCGGGATCCATCCCATCCAGCCCCGCTCCCAGCGGCCCTGGGGATGGCAGAACAGCGTGAGCGGATGCCCTGCCCACACGTGGGGTGGGGATGCTCCAGGAGCCGGGCAGCATCTCCCATTTCCTCAATTATCCCCCCCGGCAGGAGCCACGCGCCCAGAGAGTGCTTCCTGCAGCCAGATGGCCGGGTCACCTGCACGGTGCCACCGCTGTCACCAAAGGGCACGGCAAAGCCCCGACTCAGACTTCGATCTCAGCCCGCCGTGCCCACGCCGGAGCCACCCGCGGCACGCAGCTCGGGGTGACGGCGGAGATGCTCCGGTACCACCAGCACGTGGATGGCACCAGCGACGGCACGGCCGCCCCCCGGCACCCGGTGGCACAGGCGGCTCCCGGCCGTTGTTCGGCCTCCCTGCCCTCGGGACAGTCTGCGGTTTGTTGCCACCGTGAAAAGCGCTTTGTCCTCTCCCCCAACCCCCCTTCCCGGGGATCGACGGCTCTGCCTCCCCCCGCCCTCCCCGACCCCGCACGGCTCTCAGCCCCGCACTCACCCGCGGACGCGGCGCTCAGCGCGAGGCAGAAGAGCAGCAGCAGCGCCAGCAGCCAGCGGCGCGCCGCCATGCTCCGCCCTGCGCGGGGACACGGACACGCGGGGACACGGACACGCAGGAGGCGGTGGCCCCGCTCCGGGATCGCCGCATTTGTAGGCGGTGAGAGCCCGGCCCGGCCCCGCTCCCGCCCGGTCATGTGGCCGCCGGCACCGGGGAGGGGGGGTCCGCAGTTCGCCCCGCCCCGCTCCGCCCTCTCAGCGCTGCAGCCCCCCGGGGTGCCCAGGGGGTGGCATCCGAGGGGACGCGGGCACGGGGAGCGCCGAGGATGCTCCTGGGGAGGCTCAGCCCCGCGGCCCGCTGGGGAGCAAAGGGAGGGGACCTCAGAATCGCTGAGGTCGGAAAAGTCCTCTAAGATCACCGAGCTCACCCCCTCTCTCCCCCCACCCCCCAACGCGCCCCGCATCAGCCCGCAGTGCGGTCGGAAGTGGAAGCCGGGGGGAGCTGGGGGTGCCGGTGCCAAACCACTGAGTGAGGAGTCGTGGTGGCCCGATGGGGTTCTGCTGTCTGGAAAAAAGGAGAAAGGGGGAAAAAAAGGGAGAGCCAGGAAGCTGCAGGCCAGGCAGTGTCACTGCTGTGCCCGGTGTGCTGCTCGTGGAACAGATCCTCCTGGAAGCTGTACGAGGTGCTCGGAGAGCCCAGACACCTCTGGGGTCAGTGCACACGGGCTGGGAAAGGACAGGTGCTGCTGATCCCCAGTGCTCACAGTGCTGGTGGGCACAGACTGATGCGGTGCACCCAGACACATGCAGAGCTTTGGGGATGTCCTGCTGCCTCTGCATCACACAGCTGTGGACGTGGCAGATGAGCTGCTCAGCAGATAAGGAATTGTTTGGGTAGCACCCAGAGAGCTCCACAACTCTGTGTGCAAGTAGGGAGCAGCAACCAGTGGTGTCCAGGGCTCTGGGGTGGGACCAGAGTGATTTAACACCTCTGTGACAAGGACAGGAGACTGAGCATACCCTCAGCAGCGCTGCAGATGTCACACAGCTGAGTGGTGCAGTGGAGGAGCTGGAGGAGATGGATGCCATCCAAGGAGACCTGTGGGCCCGTGTGAAACTAATGAGGTTTTAATGAGGCCAAGGGGCTGCACCTGTGTCAGGTCAAACCCAGAGGTGGGTAAAGAGGAGAAAGAAAACATCTGGAGAGGAGCACTGGGGGCTGGTGTGTAGGAGGCTCAAGTGGAAGGGGAACTTTGCATCAGAGGTAAGGGGGAAATGCTTTGCTCAGGAGGAGGTGAGGCTGCGGCAGCCCCTGGAACATGGTAGAGGGCACAGACAGCAGCACTGAAGGCTCCCCTGACCCCAGGAAGCATTCCTTTGCTGTGTGTGGGGCAGAGCAGTGTGGGGCACAGCACCCACAGGGGCAGTGGGCGTCCATCCTTGGAGGTGAGTTCCATCAGGGTGAGTTCCTGGTATGCTGCTTGGGGTGTCCCTGCTGGAGCAGTGGGTCCTTTCCAGCTTCAGGTGCTCTGTGCAGGTGAGGGCTGTAGAGGTGTGAGATGCCTGCACAGGGCATCCCAAAACCACCCCTACAGTATCGCTGCTGTGGTGACTGCTGACGTGCAGCTGGACACAAATGGGACTTTGCTGGCAGATAGAGGTAAAGCAACAGAGCTGCAGTGCTCCAAAGCTGCTGTGGGTACAGCTGGAGGTGGGATGCCCCTTTAGGCTGGCGCTGGGTGCCCTGTGTCCTCCTGCAGTTCTCCCCATCACTGATGGATCTCCAGCCCCCATCACAGGGGATTTCCCCTGGACCCCAATGCTCCTACACCACCTTCCGCATTCCTGGGGTCCCAGGGGTTCCCTCCCTCCCTCCCTCCCACCCCACGTCCTGTTTGCTCGGGCGCATCACCCCGGCCTGAGTCACCCCACAGCCCCGCAGGTGGCGGAAGGCTAACAATAGCCCACAAAGGGAGGATGTCTCCCCCAAGCCTTCCTCTGGGCCCGTCGTCGAGGAAAGCTCCCGGGGGGGGGGGGGGGAGGACCGGGCCCCACCGGACGCACAGTGGATGGGCTTCGTCCGGTTGAGGCCGCTGTGCTGAGAGCAGCCCCTGGTGAGCGGGTCGGAATCCCTGGGGATGGTTGGAGGAAGAGGAGGAGGAGGATGTGCAGCATCGTTAGCACGTTTTGTTAATTAGCAGGACGGAAGCGAAGCGATGCCTGATGGTCACCGTGGCAACCGCATGGCGCATCCTTGAGAAACTTTGCTTGCTGTGATGATCGCAGGGACTTCACCGTGTGCCCCCACCCAGCCCTATGCAGGGGCTCCCGCACGACCCAACCGCACGGGAGGACCCAACAGAGGGTCTCCGGGGTGACGTCGGCCTGGCCGGGAGCATCACTGACACGGATGTGCCCGGCCTCGGCTCGGTGCCGTTCACAGAGGCAGGATGGCGGTGATGCCTCCAGGTCCCGCTGTCGCCTCCCCTCCGCGCAGCACGGGGACACGGCCGGGGCCCGCGGTGCGGTCGTGGTGCCATCTCGTGGCCGACAGCTTCGCGCTGACGCTGCGGGATGGTGAGCGCACATCGCTGAGCCGCGCCGTACATCGGCAGGGCGGGCTGTTCATAAAGCCGTTCGTTGTTTATTTCCTGTAGGACCCACCCGGCATCCCGCACTTTGTTCTTCGACCCCGATTGGAGCCATATCCCTCCCCGAAAATCCCCATCACCCACCGCAGCCGCGCTGCACGGAGCCCGTCCTGCAGGGATGTCCCCATAGCGGGAGGACGTCGCGCCCCGTCGGCGCGGCAGGATTCGTCCTTTCGCTGGATGTGACTTCGGGAGCCGAGCTCTGCCCTTCTCCATAGCGGGGCCGGAGGACGGCAGCACCGTACCCTCGCCCCGTGCTGCTCAATGTCAGTCCCCTCCAGGCCGATGGCAGGGCAGGCTGAGCGGGATGCCGCCGTGACCCACCCCGCGTGCCATCCCTCTCCCCCTGGCGGATGGTTCTGGGGCAGTGCAGCACCCACAGGTTCGCCCATAGCCGGCAGGGACGTGCCAGGCTGAGCTGGCACAGCCGCACCTCCGCTTCCGGGAGATCTTTGGACTCGGTGCTGATTGAGCTGTTTGCTGTTATCTGGTTATCTAGAGAGCAGAAGCGCTCTGTGAAGAGGACAACGACCCCCGGTCTCTGCCCGGGGCCTCGGCATCCCTCCACCCAGGGAGCAAAGGCGCAGGAGGAGGGACCTGTCGCTCCACGGCACCAAGCGTCCCCTCCGCGTCCCGCAGCGCGGTGACAGCCATGCCACCCTCCCGTTGGACAGCAGCCTGGCTGCTCCTGCTGCAGGGTACGGGGCACACATCGCTGCGGCCGGGCTGGGGCTGAGCAGGAGCCCGAGCTCCCGCTGAGGCTCAGAACCCTTCAGGTTGCTTCATGGGACGCTCGCAGCTCGTCGCCTCCCCCAGGACCGACATCAGGGACTGCTCCGTGGACCCCCCGGTGAGCCCCTCGTGCACAGCCCGCACCCACCCTGGGGTGCTTCGATGGCCCGCTGCCCAGCCCCACTCCCTTCTGTCCCTTTGTGCCACCAGTACCTGCCTCCCACGGCCACCAACAGCTCGGCACAGCTCACAGCTCTGCGGGATGCCATGCGTGCCCGTAACATCCACGCCTACATCGTGCCCTCCACGGATGCCCACATGGTGAGGTGCCATCCCCACGCGCCGTGCCGGCTCTCCGATCTCCTCTCACCTCTCCATCCCATCCCCAGAGCGAGTACATTGCTGACAGGGATGCCCGCCTGGGCTGGCTCACCGGCTTCACCGGCTCTGCAGGTGGGAGCATCCCTCCTGGGCTCTGTGCCCAGCCTTGGGGGGATGTGGGCTGCTGGGGAGTGGGACTGGGGGAGAGATGATGCCTGAGACCTTCTGCCCCCCAGGCACCGGCGTGGTGACAGAGGACAGAGCAGCCCTGTGGACCGACAGCCGCTACTGGACACAGGCAGAGAGGCAGCTGGACTGCAACTGGGAGCTGCAGAGGACCAGTCAGTGCAGGGATGTGGGGGTGAGGGGCTGCCCACTGCCAGAACCCCCTCTGCACAGCTCTGCCTTGCAGCCTGGATTGAGTCCATCGGGATGTGGATCGTGGAGGTGGTTCCTGCAGGGGGGAACGTCAGCCTGGACCCCTTCCTCTTCTCCATCGGTAGGGTGGGCTGGCACTGAGGGGATGCTTCCCCATGGGCTGGTCGCTGGGTGATGCAGCCCCGTGGGCCACTCTCCCTGCAGACACGTGGAAGAGCTACCAGCAGGCCCTGCAGGGCTCTGGCATCACCCTGCTGCCCATGGAGACCAACCTTGTGGACCAAGTGTGGGGCAACCAGAGACCCCCTTTACCTTCCAGCCACATCTACAGCCTCCCAGAAGAGTTCACAGGTACACCCCCCCATCCATCTCTGCCCAACCAGGGGAGGGCCATGTGCTGAGCCCCCCCCCCCCCCCCCACCCCAGGAAGCAGCTGGCAGGAGAAGGTGGCTGGGATCCGCCAGCAGATGGAGGAGCACATGCGGAGTCCCACAGCTCTGCTGCTCTCAGGGCTGGAGGAGACGGCCTGTGAGTAGAGCACCAGGGTTGTGGCACTGCCCCAGGGGCATCAGGGTGTGGGTGGGCACAGCTCTGATGTCTCACCCCTGGCAGGGCTCTTCAACCTCCGCGGAGACGACATCCCCTACAACCCCGTCTTCTACTCCTACACTCTCCTGACCACCACCACCATCAGGTGAGCAGTGGCTGCTGTGGGGCTCAGCCCCAACCCTCCTCCCTTATCCTATTCGACCCCCCCACCCTCCCTCTGCCTGTTTCCCATGCACCCCTTGTATTCTGCAGTGCCCACCCCATTGCATCCCACCTCCAAGTCCTACATCTTTCCCAGAATCAACCTCACCCCTCCCAGTAAAACCCAGAGGCCCCCTCCCACACCCCCAGCCCCTTCCCCCCCCATCACCATGCCCATTTCCCAGCCTGTTCGTGGACTCTGCACGGCTGACAGCGGAGGCTCAGCAGTCGTTGCGCTCCGGCTGCCCGGGGCCACTGTGTGTGGAGCTGTGGGACTACGGGCAGGTGAGCTCCCACCTCCATCACTATGCTCAGGGCAACGTCACCATCTGGCTGGGCACTGAATACACCACCTACGGCCTCTACAGCATCATCCCCCAGGTGAGGTTC